CTCCCTTCCATATCGTACATTTATATAAAATTTGTCAGCCGTTGATTAAACCGTTAAGATTCCATGAGGCTACAAACAAACTCACTTTCAAAATTATAATATTCCTAAAGATAAATCCTTATCCTATCCAGTAAGGACACTCTATGGTACTCGTAACACAGATCTCCTAGCTTAAGTACCAGCCAAGGGATTGATGATTGTGTAAAACTTATTCATTGATTTAATAATCAAAATGAGTACATTCTCTAATAATGCAAATTATTTAATAGAGAATTTACTAACATTCTGCAATTTCATATTTTAGCTAAAATATCTCGCAGTAACGCCTCAGTTAGTTTGCTATTTATAGTAACATAAAAATATACTGCTTTTGTAAGATAAGTAATATCTATTCAATTCTTAGAAGGACCGAACAGAAGGAAAATATGATAATTTTATGCGGCTTCCAAAAGGAGTTTCTTCGCCAAATGTGAACTAATTTCCGCATTTTTTTTTTTATCTACAGAACAAAGATTGTTATGAATCAAAATTAAATTATAAAAAAGCAATTGCGTGTTCTAAATTCAAATACTTTCAATGTAAGGTATTTATGAGATATCTGCTCTTTTATTGTCTGTATAGACACGAATAAAGCCGCTTTTATTATATGGAGCATAATTTACTTGTTTAATTAAATCTCAGTACACACGCATGACAGCACGTGACGTCACAGTTTTATCAGTTCGTTTTAACAGCTTTCCTTTACAGGATCTAATTACCGTTCGTAATAAACTTAGATAACATAAATCAGTAACGAAATTGTTATTATAAAGATAACTAAGTAGGTAAATATATCAATTAGGCGAGATATTGTATAATTTATGCATCAATCAGTCATAAATTTAGACTAGGACTTATTTGATAGTGTAAGTATTTATACTAGATACTTAATTAAACAATTTGACATAAATTTTCCACAATTACTTTCTATTCTTTATAAATTACTCTGTGTACTGAGAGTAAATATTAACATGAATTACTTTCAATGGCAAAGGTATTTTTGGAATTTTAATAAAAAAAAAGGACTGAATGAAATTAATTTAATGGCCCTGATGAGTCAAGTTTAACTAACCAATTTAAAGTTAAATTAAAAGCTTAACCTTTCAAATATTTTTAAAAGCAAAATATAAAAATGATAGATGACAGACAGACCTGGGAGATGAAAATAGGCGCTTTGTATGAATTATAACAAGATAAATAAAAAAAATAGAGGCAAATTAAGAATTAAAAACTAAGTGGAGGTTCACTTAGGAAGCTTTTTTTTCCTAATTACACATAACATTATGAATGAATGAATGAGTATACTTTATTTGCATTATACAATATAGGAAATAAGGAAGACAACAAATTTAATGATACAATTGTATAAATACAGTAAGGCGGTCTTATTGCTCAGAGCAATCTTTTCAAGACAATTTTAGGGTAATGGACTAATTGTTGTACAAGTAGGTATAATAGTATTGTATAATTAAAAAAGTTAACAGTGTAAAACATTAAGGGAAATAATTATCCTTTATCAAATAAAAAAAATTATTATGGTCTATTAACTTTGGATTAGGTGCTTAAATTTATTTTGTAACTACCCAACATCATTCATATTTTACTAGATAGGATTTATAATATGGAAGATATTAGAGATTATTTTACTACTCTCTGATATTAAAAGTAGTGAAAATTCCTAATGAATATCAGGTTTGAAGCACCATCTTCCTTAGGCATAAAATATTACAGTACAGCTACAACAACCAAATAAAATATATATAACTATGCTACATAAAATGTATTATAAAAATCTAATACTCCATAAATCTAAACAATGGAATATAGCTAAGAGCATGATAATGAAAGATGAAGAAAAAGTAATGCAAGAATTTTGATATATTTACATACCAATTATGTTTCATATGAAAGTAAAGCAAACTTTATGTAAATGACTTAAGATTCAGTTTGGTGTATTCAATTTATATAACCAATATTGTTTTATAAAATGAACCCTATTTTCAAAGAAATAGAATATTTGCAATTTTAGGTGTTGATAGTGAGCATTAAATATGTGCAACATAAAGAAATAGCCAATATATTCAATCACTGAAAACAAACTTTCAAGAACTTTTATTGAAAATATTTTAATGTATTCCATGACTAGTTTTGTACTATGCTGTGTGTTGTGAATCCTTACTAATACTCATTATAAAAATGAAGGTGACTCTTGCATTAAAGATACTTATTTTACTTTGCTACTACTTACTATCTCTTTGAAACTAAAATATGCCAATTTTATAAAATAGTTAATTATATGTGAAATTCACTGGTAATTCTTCATCATTATCATCACATCAGCCACTGACTGCCTACTGTAGAACATAGACCTCCCCAATAAAGGAGATTTTGCCAGTAGTTACCATGATTGGCAAATGGTCCAGCAATCACAGTTAGGCTTTTAGTGATGTTTTAAGAGAGATGCTGCTGCCCATCCAATTAAAATGAAAATGGTTATATTAGATAAGATTAAAAAATACTTTATGATTATAATCAAATGTGACAATGTATAAAATACAATAACTAAAATATACATGTACAACACTTACCAAAATAATGATGCAAAACAAACATAGATAAGGTAATCTGTTTTTTATAGTTAGCATATTTAATAAACAATCTTAGTGTGTAATTTTATCAAAATTAATTAATTAAAAAGAGACAATTACAAAAAAATATCATTTTATGTATTATTATTTAATAAAAAGACACAGTAATATGATTAAGACACTAAATATAATGAGTAAAAAAAAATATGTGATGAAAAAGATCCTATTAAATTTCTTATTTTGTTAATGTGTCCTATTAACAAAATAAGAAATGAACTTCAGTGAGTATTCATATAGTACTCATTTCTAATGTTGAAAAAAAAAAACATTAATTTTAAATTACTTATTTAATTATTTAATACTGTTCGGTAGGAATACACTGAGATCTACTAATTAAAGATTACACATATGAAAAATTTACATAAATAAAATAAAGCTGCTCAAAACACTGATCCCTATTTTCAAAGCCTTTTCATATTTACATATTAAATCACTTTATTTTGATTACACACTGAAAAATAAAGACTTAAAACATGTCATTTGTTTCATCTGTGCTTTACATTACGTATGTACCTACCTACCAAATTAAAAACAAATTATCAAAAACATAAATGGGCTACAATAAAACTTTTACTGTTTAAAGCAGAAAATGATTAATTAAATGAAAGCACATTTATTAACTTTTAACACACACTTCACATGAAGAGACATTTAAGTTTAAATGGCAAGCCCTTCAAACAAACAAATTGTAATGATTCATAGGCGAGAGCAACGCGAAAATAATATTACTTAAGTTGGAAACCGTACAAAACTGGTTAGAATTAAAGGGTGCATGTTTCGTCAAGGTTAGGTCGTCAATTGCATTCCGGATAAGAAGTCATACACGGTAGCAATTTAGACTTTTTGTCCAAACGTAGAAAAAAATCATCATAATGTCACGAAGTGCAGAAAAGGCGGTGCCGATATCGTTCGGCAAGCTTGGGCGATGGCGGTCAAGTAACGGCCAACTGAGACAACATTTCGACTTATTTTAAACGTAAATCTACATAATTAATTATTCCTTTACCGATATTACATATAATATACTAAAACTAACAATTAAATTATTAAAACTTACCACATGACAACGATAAATCGCAATAAATTCTACATTCACTCACAACACAAAACACTCCACATCCACGATTGACACAATATAGGACACTAGCGCCACGTGTTTGAAAACATCATTAAATGATATGAAGTTGCATACAAGCTGTCTAAAGCCTTTAGTAAACGGTCAAGCCATCAAAGCCAATCAATATATTATGCGCACAGATATTATATGACTGCGATTCCAAATAGGCTTGGGTAACATCGCCTTTTTGTAATATTTATACTGGTTATTTAACTTGAATATCATATATTGTAACTGCATATTTGCTACTGTCAAAAAACAAAACAATTTTGAGATGAGCACAGCTTACTCGACCCCTTTTACATACACCTTCTTTTTATTTAATTTTAAATTATTTAACGTTATTTATAGCATACACTTTTATATATATATAATTATTTACTAATTATATTACTTTAAATAACATAAAAAAATTACAAAACAATATATTTTGCATTAAAAAAAATAATACATAGCCTTATAGAAAGAAAGAAGTAGTCATACATTCATTATTTTTTACTCAACCGTTTGCTTAGATGAACCATTAATCCAGTCAAATATTGAAATACATATATTGTAGCTTTGTATTTATTTACGCACTCGTGATTAATTTAAATCAAATCTGTTTTAGATATTAATAACATCAAAATCAGACATTATTTATCCGCAATCGTCATCTTGTAGATATTGTCATAGAGCATGAATTCTATAATGAAGTGAATCGTAGCAATATACATTGTTTCGATTATCTTTTATGATGTATCGATTACTGAATCGGTTCTTACCTTTCAGTGTATTACATGGAGTGCGATATTCGATATTAGCCGAACCGACTTGCACTGCTACATAACAGTCGGCTGCAGGAGGGTGTTGAAAATGGTTTTGTTGCTTACAGCAGATAATAACTAATATATCTTAATTTTTAATAATCTTAATTTCAAATCTATGCCAGCAATACCAATACAATACGATTTAAAATTCATACATTACAGTAAGTTTATAGTATAGTAGGAGACAAATTCAGACAAAATATTAGATAAGTAGTAGAGAGTATAAGTATAGTATTAGATTGATTTCAACTACAAAGATTTCATAAAATACAATTCTTTTTTATGGTAGCATTCTTTTTTTAGTCTAAAATCTATAAAAATGTTTGCTATGCTTACCACTATACAATGCTATAAGCACTAGAATACTACTACTAGAACGGAATGTCAAAATTGACATAATTTTGACAGTTATAGTATTTTGTAAATTGTTACATACATCTTAAAAGTATTTATTTTGTTTACTTTAAATTTGAAATGCTCATAACAAGACAGTATATGAAAATTATTAGTTGTAGGGCACTAATAGATAAAAATATTTCAACTAAACAAAAACTAGTTACGTTATCTTGCCCTTGCCGCAATCGTGTTTATAGGTTAGATTTGTATTTTAATTTTGCGTTGTTAGTACCCCTTTTGGGAATTTAAAATAATTTTAACAATTACATTATAATCCTCAGAACATTCGCCAGTAGCGTGTCTACAAAAAATCCTGGGAATATGATTATTAAAAATGGAGCACAATTTTCAAATGTATCGAAGGATAAAATTCCTCAAGTGACACCACACGGGTCGGCATCGTCTGAACAAGTATTAGAAAAATTTATTGCTGGTTTATCGAGTGATATACATCAAAAAAACAGGGTGTACAAAAATGACTTGATGAGAATAATCAACAAAGTGAAGGAATTAAATTTTTCAACAAAAAGACAAGGTCTGTTATTAATCAGATGCTGCACAGAATTGTTGCCCGATGAAGCCAGCTCTTCACGAATGGCTTTGGTTGAGATAGTGTGGAATGCACTGAAGTGAGTCAACTAATCTATTCTGTATTTTGCAATTAAATAGTTAAACTCCCTTAAGGGTATCCATTTTGTCAAAGTGTCAATATTAAGAGTTTTTCTATATTTCATATACATAGTAAACATTTTTGGCAAGTCATACTCAAGTATTTAATTTATATGTTACTTCCTGCATCTAGCTTCACTTGTGGTCATATTGTTATCAAATAATATATATTTTTTTAAGAAACAACCTGTAAATGTAAATTGGACTCTTATTTCTGCACTGAGCTTTTCATTAGGGCCATTATAAGTCTGAAAGAAATGAGCTATCAAATGAAAAATATTTTTTAAATCACACTGGTAGTTCTATAAATTAGTATGTTCATACAAAACAAAAAAAAAAAAAACTTAAATTAGAATGTAGAATGTCTGTTTGCTTTAATTTTAAATTGCACTATTTGATAAAAAAAAAAGAAAACTTATTACATATGCCAAATATAAAGAATCAGATAATAGGTAATTTTACTTTTTTGTAGGCCTCATACAAAATTTGAGGTGGACCACTACAATGAGCTGCTACGAGTATATATAGCTAATAACAGAACACTCACAGCCAGTTCCTTCATCAGTCAGATGACTCCTGTAAAACCGAATATCACTACATATGAACTAATACTGAGAGCACTTGGAGAGGTGAACTTGTTATTTTTATCTAGAAACATGTATTTATTAATTTACTATAAAACATACAAAAACTGTTGCAATAGTAGTATTGTCCATTAGGGACCATCTTGATCCCCTTATACTCCCTTTAATATATTCAAATCATTTCTGCTTTCAGTGGTTTTTTTGGTTTATTATGGAATAGTAATACTTTGGTGGGGTATCATTCAGGGATTTTGTTAATAGGTGAAAATGGTAACCCTGCTTGTGCCAATGGTATATGTCAGCATACACATGGAGTACCAGTGAGATATGATAGGTGAGATTGAATGCAGGGCAGTTAAGCCATCATGACAAATTTATAAAAAATTAATAAAGATAGTTCCAAGGGGGAACTCCATTCTCATTACTAACCCTTCTCCCCTGTAGTAGGGGGTTGTTGTACTGTATTTGTCTATATGGGCAAATATAATTATTGAAATGTATTTAAATATTTGGCAGGCTGGTGATCTTAATCAAGCTACCGAAGTGATATCAAACATGAAAGCTCAAAATCTTCCAGCCACCGAAAGTATATTCAATTCACTTATAATTTGTCAAGGAAAAGCTGGGTAATATATTTATTTCGATTTACTAAATCATATACTGCTCATATTTCTTTTTTACAACTATAATAAAATTGTAAATGTATGAAAAAAAACCAGATCAAGATGAAAATTAAAAAAAAAATTATAAAATTTTTGCAAATACAGGTTAACAATCATAGTTATGCAAGTAAAAGGCACTTATATTTTTTTTTATGCAAATTATGAATGCAAACAAGCTGATGGCCCACCTGATGGGAAGTGGTAACCGTCGCCTATAGACATGAGCAGTACTATGGACATAACAGAGTATACTGTTTCACCCACGATACCCCTTATGCGTTGCCATTCCTGAGGACTCCTCATACTTATAAATCTCAATTTAAAACAAGGAATTCATGAACTTTCTTAGTATGTTCACACTATGTACAATTTGGAGAGATAGAAAAACACAGCCTATTGTAGTAATTTATTTTTTCAATATATAAAAACCTTATAAAACATAAATTAAATGTACAAGTTTTTTTTACATGTTACATAATCGCTGTTAGTTATTTTGATTGTTAATAATATTAATATTTGTAGCAATGTCAGTAACATTCAAGAGGTATTGACAATGATGAAGTCTCTGAAACTTGAGAACTCTATAGAGACCCACACAGCAACAATGAAAGCCCTAGCATACAATAAGCAAATTAAACTTTTATTTGAAGAAATGGATAAAGCAGAAAGAAGTGGATTACAGTTTGATGAAGTTCATATCATGGAGATTGTGAAGACTTTAGCTAATGTTGGATCCTATCAGTCTATTCCTCGGGTATATTTAATTATATTTATCTACTTTTATATATTATACATATTTGAGAATATTTTTTTATCTGTTAATAGTCATTATCGATTGATTGCATATGTAAAAATGTATGAAAATTATTTAAATGGTGAAACTGGTTAGTTTTTTAACATATTGCGGAAGAGTACAACAATTTTACTCATAATGTAAATAGCGTTTAATAACATTTCTTATTAAATCCGGCCACCACATAATTTATATAAAAATTCCTAAAGAAAATTGGGTTAAATTTTAACTTGTTTAATTTTAGATATAATTCTTAAGACTTGGTAAAGTTAAGGGTAAATCACATTTGACTCAATCTGATCTTATAAATCTCTTTATATGAAGTATGAGAATATTTGCCTTTTTTAGTTTCAAAATATATAAATATTATTTAGAATAATAGTAGTAAATTTTTGAATGTTGGCATTTTCACACATACTAATGGTGGCAGAATTAAGAAAAATAATTCTAATCAAATATTCAGTGAAACTAATACTATATTATGTTCTTCAGGTTCTCCGTCATCTTCCAGAAGAAACCCTCAAAACCCCATCTATTTCTCCATACATGCAAAGTGTGGCAACTTTGCTAGTATTCCAGAATCATCCGATAGTTGCGCTAGAAATATATAAATGTTTGCCCTTACCCTCTTTTGGGCCTAAGGATGATCAAGGACTTCATGGAAGGAGCTTAGTCAGAGACTGCGTAAAGGCTTCTATAGTAATTATCCTTTTTTATTTTTATATATAAATTAATATTATAAATTGTTGACCGTTCGTAAAATAAGATCTTACAAAAAATGAAATTAAACGTCCGGCAACGGTTATTAGTGGACTGTATGAAATTTTAATACAATGGTGGTAGTTAACATAAGAAACACAAGAGGATAATTAAAGTGGAGACCACTGACCTGAAACTTTGTAGTTAGCAGGATTCGGTTCTGGCTTTAGGCTTCCCAGTACTTCTGGCTCGTTCGAACTTACCCTCAGATCCAGGTTACCTATCCACCGCCTTGAACCGACCAGCAGTGCAATGCCCTCCTCTCAATCAGCCTCTTGGTTATGTGTGATATGATTAAAAAAGCGATACGAAAAGACAAACGATATTCGCGGCAATATATGCACGCGTGCGATAATATTTTTAAACGAGAACGACGACAACGAACGTACGTTCTACCGACACATTCGATAACAACCGACAGACTTTTTTTTTTTTGTAAAAATGTTGCCAGGCGAAATTTATTTAAGCTACAATTCTTAACATTCCGCCCACCAAAATACAACATATTTTCCTAATTACACATTAGCAATAGGTTTCCTTTCAAACGACACAATTAATTTAACGATAAATAACGACAAGTTAAACGACAAAAATTTAACAAAGGTCTTTAATTTGATAACGGTAAAGGGCACAGTTTAACGACTGGCCTCTTACATTCACCAGAATTGGTTCGAATGGTAACGACTCTACAAACTCCATCAGTACCACGGTGAAGTTTGACTACTCGACCAATCCTCCATTTCATTGGACTGCATTGCTCATTGACAATGAGAACAAGAGTGCCGACATCAATCTCCTGTTGTTTGTTGTACCATTTGAGACGCGACTGCAAGGTATGCAAGTACTCTAAATGCCACTTGCGCCAGAAATCCTGATGGATTTTTTGTAGCAATTTCCAACGCTGCAACGGTCCCAATTTTATATCAACTAGATTACTTTCAGGTAATATAGTGAGAGGTTCCATGGTGAGAAAATGACCAGGAGTCAACACCGAAAAGTCATTGGGATCCGAACTGATAGGCGATAGAGGTCTTGAGTTTAACATGGCCTCTATTTGAGCTAAGACGGTATAAAACTCTTCGAAAGTAAGACGTTGTATACCTATTACACGAGACAAATGAGTCTTTATTGACTTCACACCAGCTTCTGCTAAACCGGAAAAATACGGACTACCGGGTGGATTAAAGACAAATTCAATTTGTTCTACATGCGTAGCATTTTGCAGCAAGTCATGCAATACATTTGCTGCACCGATAAAATTTCTACCTTGATCCGAAATCAACCGAGAGCAACGACCGCGCCGAGCGATAAAGCGCCTTAAAGCTGCTAGGTATGCTTCCGTAGTTAACTCAGACACGAGTTCAAGGTGCACTGCCTTGGTGGCAGTGCATACAAAAACACATACGTACGATTTAAATGTACGTGTACCACGACCACGACCCAAACTAATATCGAAAGGACCAGCATAGTCGACTGCCGAAACCGAAAATGGCTTTATTTGATTGATACGACACGCTGGTAAGTTACCCATGATAGGTGGCGCTGCAACTCTAGGATGAGCACGAAAGCATTTTACACACGAGGATATTACTGCATGAATAGCTCTCTTCGAAGACAATATCCAAAACTCTTGAGATAATAAGTTTTTCAAAGTTTGCATACCAGGGTGCATAAACCGATGATGATACTCTTCGATAATGAGTGTTGTTAATCTATGATTACGAGGCAATAAAATTGGATGTTTGACATCATAAGTTAGGTTTCCCTTGGAAAGCCGACCGCCCACCCTCAAAAGACCATGTTCATCCAAGAATGGAGACAACTTTCGAATGGGTTTGGAAATGGAAAGCGACGATCCTTCCTTCGATAAACTACAAAATTCTGATGCAAAACAACGCTCCTGAACATGCCTCACTAGAAAACGAAACGCTTGATTTATCTCTGCACCCGACAAATTACAATTATTTTTCAGCATAGGGTTTTGCAAATTATGAATATATCTAAAACAATAAGCCAAAATACGCAAGGCGCGCTGTAACGACGAGAATCTATTTAATAAATCATCTATAAACGACATATTAGAGGCTGTGAAAAGACTATAAATCTTTTGTTCATCAGCAGCGGCTTGATCGAACGACATCTCTGAATGTGGCCACGACACTTCAGGGTTGGAGAGCCAGGCAGGTCCCGCCCACCATAACGTATTCTGAACTAAATCAACAGGAAGTAAGCCGCGAGAACCACAATCCGCTGGATTTTCAAACCCAGAAACGTGATGCCAATTTTGCGGAGGGACTTTCTCCTGAATATTTACCACTCTATTAGCCACGAAAGTTTTCCATTTAGATGGACAAGCACGAATCCAAGTCAGAGCGACAGTTGAATCTGACCAAGCATAAATATTACTAAAGGGATAAAACTCTTTTAAAGCATCGACAAATGAGCAAATTAAGTCCGACAATAAGACAGCTGCTAACAATTCCAAACGTGGAATTGAGCACTTACGTAGAGGAGCTACCTTTGATTTTGCACAACACAAGCGCACGACGACAGAACCATCATTCTTAACGACACGACAATATATGACGGCACAATAACCTCTTTCCGAGGCATCACAGAACCCATGGAGTTGTAATGACTCGAAAGACTCGACCATTCTGCGAGGAATGGAAAACGAACTTAACGACGACAATTGTGATTTAAATTTAGACCACTCTTGACTGATAGTGACGGGAGCATCACTATCCCAATCGACACCCGATAACCACAAAAGTTGTAACAAATATTTTGCCAGAAATACCACTGGTGCTAACAAACCCAATGGGTCGAAGATTCTAGCGATGTCCGACAGAATGGATCGCTTGGTACAACGAGTATCACTGGAAGATGTCTTAAATGTAAAAAGATCATCCCCAGGAAACCATGAAAGACCCAATATTTTAACCGAAACATCACGAACATCTTCAAAATCACGAAGTTGCTCCGAGTACAAGTCGGAATCTGACACCTTTTCTAGAAATTCTGGACAGTTTGAAGTCCATTTACGCAAGTGAAGATGACCCGACGACAAAATTTCTACTAATTCCTGACGTATTTGCAGAGCATTCTCTACAGAATCGGCGCCTGATACGACGTCATCAACATAAGTATCTCTAGCTAATACTGCACTACCACGTGAAGCAAGAGACGAAAATTCCTTTGCCAACCTAGCAATGCACCAAAGAGCCTGATATGGGGCACAGGATACACCATAAGTCACTGTGAGTAATCGAAAATCCCTAACAGGATCATTAGGAGAAGGACGCCACAAAATGCGTTGATAATCACAGTCTCGAAGATGAACAAGAAATTGACGATACATCTGCTTGATATCTGCAGTGAACACAACTGCATGCCAACGAAATCTGACTAACAAGTCAAAAATGTTCTTTTGCAGCTTAGGGCCCGGTAATAAAGAATCATTTAAGGACCTTCCTGTAGTATCCTTGGCGCTTGCATCGAATACTGTACGCAAAGGAGTAGTAGCCGAGTCAGGCCGCATCACTCCATGATGCGGAATGTAATAAAAATTACCATCATTCGATGAAGGTGGTTCAACTTCCTCCATGTGACCACTTTGAAAATAGTCATCCATGAATTTGACATAAGCAGTCCGAAATAGAGGGTTTGTTTTAAATTTCCTCTCCAAATTTAAAAGACGCTTGAGAGCAATCTCACGAGAATTACAAAACTTGGGCTTCGCCTGAGGGTCAACGAAAGTTAATGGTACTACCATCCTACCTTCAGGACTACGACAATATGAAGCGTTCATATAGTTTTCACACGATAATTCTGATTTCGAAAGTACGACAGATTTGGGGGGATCAATAGTTTCTAATTCCCAAAAACGTTTAATATTGCTGTCCAAAGACCAACTTGAAACAAAGAGACAATCATTGTTTGTGGAACTAGAGACACGATGAGAACGATAAGAATCAACATGAGTAGCACATTCTCCCATCACTACCCAGCCGAATACAGTGCTAACAGCAATGGGCTGACCTACATTGCCTTTGACAAGGCCTTCTTGAAGTGCTGATGTCAAAATGTTAACACTAACTAACATATCGATAGGTCCAGGTATGTGGAACGAGGGATCAGCAAGATCCAAATCCAGAATATGTTTCCAAGCCGAGACATCAATTTGTCCGGATGGCATATCTGAACAAATCTTGGGTAAAACAAAAGCTTCAAATGAAAATTTACAAGTGACATCACCATTTGATGGAATAATTTCACAAGCGACTGATCCAAGTGTGTCCGCTGACACATGACCAATACCACTAACAGATTGTTTGGTATTCCCAATGTGAAGTCCAAGTTTCCTTGCACAGGTGTGTGTAATAAAATTGCAAGCACTAGCACTATCCAAAAGAATACGAATAGGTGTCCATTTATTTAATTTAGTTTTAATGAGAACAACTGCAGTTGAAAACAAAACTTGAGTTTCAGTGCCCAATACAGCCAAGGTGGTGGTAACTGCTGAAGCTTGCGGTGAAAGCTCTGTATTATCACCTTTGTCAAAATGAAGTAAAGTGTGATGTCTATATTTACACTTAGAACAATCGCTAAATGTTCTACAATTCTTTACAATATGTGAGGGCCGAAAACATCCAATACACAGTTTATTTTCTTTTATTAAAGAGAATCTTTCAAAGGGTGACAAGCTATTGAATTTTGAACACTTCTCCACACTATGACTGGAAGAAGAACAAGCAATACAGTTAACCGAAGGCACAATAAGCGATGGTTTTGACCTAATTGTTGGTTTACTAGTAATAATATTTGACTTTGATGTGTTTGAATTCTCCAAGGCTCGACTTCTTTTTTCTATGAAGTTAATTAAATTTTCATATTTAGGTATATCAACATTTGAATCCAGTTGTAACTCAAATGCTTCCCTTGTTACTGCATCCAATTTACTCCACAACAAATTAAATAACATGAAATTACTATCAGGTAACTGGTATTTCGAAAGTATATCTAAATTTTCTTTAAATGTTCGACAAATTCTGTTTAATTCTAAGCTACTCTTTGACTTCACTGATTCACAATTTAATAATCTTTCATAAAAGACAGTAGCGATGACTCTTTTTTGTTCATATTTGTGTTTTAAGGTGTTATATGCTAACAAATAGTTTTCATCACAAAGGGGATAATTTTTTATTAAATCTAAAGCTTCACCTTGAACATTTGACAATAAGTAATGAAGTTTTTCTACTGGTGCTATCTCTTTAGAGTGAATTAGTGAGTCGAACAACTGAATAAAAGAGACCCAATTTTCAATACGGCTGTCAAAGGGTTTTATAATAATTCTGGGTAATTTCATATTACTACTACCACTAGACGATATAACAGGTTTCTGTTCTATATTTTTCAAACGATGTTTTATTGATTTTACTATTTGCTCAAAACGAAATGACAATTTTAATTCACTGGATGTATCACTCCCGGACAACGATGTTAATAGTTCCAACTGTGACTTATGGAAATCATCCTCAATATCCTTTACATCCTGTAAACTATAACCAATTAAATCGGTGCCCTCCATCATTTCTATGCGGGCAAAAGCATAATCACGCCCAATGCGATTTCTATCGCCTGCATCCAACGATGAACGACTGGTTTCCATTGTTTAACAAAATAACTATTTTTTAATTACAACGCAATATCCAAATAAAATGAAATAACTTGGAAAATAACAAACAACAAAATCAAAACAAACGAAATTGACAACCAAATTACGAAAACAAAATATGACAATCAATTTTTACATTGACAGTCACTTTTAAGATACGTTCTGAAACGATAAGTTTTATTAGCGCAAAATCAATTTAAATATTTTAGATAAAGAATTACGATTTTTAAATTATCAATATTAACAATGAAAATATTTATTTATATTCAATGAATAATGTTTTTATTATTTTGCAAAAAGTTATTTCAATAAAAACGATCGGCGAGATTTATTGCGACAAAATGATGGAACAAAACGTTTCATGAAATTAATACAACGAAACGCAATATGGCGTCAAAATGGAAGAAATCCTGATTGCTAATGTATGATGTAAAAGTACCCACTTATTTTTACAAAAAATTAATAATGCGAAAGAATTACGAAAATTAGTTTTTTAAACTCGAAATTACACTAAATTATCCAAAGATCGCCTTACAACAAAATCCGGCTCGAAGGACCAACAAAATGTTGACCGTTCGTAAAATAAGATCTTACAAAAAATGAAATTAAACGTCCGGCAACGGTTATTAGTGGACTGTATGAAATTTTAATACAATGGTGGTAGTTAACATAAGAAACACAAGAGGATAATTAAAGTGGAGACCACTGACCTGAAACTTTGTAGTTAGCAGGATTCGGTTCTGGCTTTAGGCTTCCCAGTACTTCTGGCTCGTTCGAACTTACCCTCAGATCCAGGTTACCTATCCACCGCCTTGAACCGACCAGCAGTGCAATGCCCTCCTCTCAATCAGCCTCTTGGTTATGTGTGATATGATTAAAAAAGCGATACGAAAAGACAAACGATATTCGCGGCAATATATGCACGCGTGCGATAATATTTTTAAACGAGAACGACGACAACGAACGTACGTTCTACCGACACATTCGATAACAACCGACAGACTTTTTTTTTTTTGTAAAAATGTTGCCAGGCGAAATTTATTTAAGCTACAATTCTTAACATAAATATAAGAGTGAATATGTTAATTTGTTTATGGTTTATAAGAGATGAGAATTAACACGAAAATGTTAATTAATTAATTCCCGTTTCTTATATTTATAAGTGACGGGCAATTTATTACATCATCTCTTACATTAATTATTTAATAAAACATGCGACACGAAAGTCTAAAAATTAATGATCGTATGTTGTCTCTTTGCACCTTGACGGATCAACTATAGGTATATACTTCACTGTTACATACCTCACTGTTATATACTTCCCTGTTATATACTTCACTATTATATACTTCCCTATTATATACTTCCCTGTTATACACTTCCCTGTTATATACTTCCCTGATAACAGGGAAATATGGTGATGGTATATAAATAACATCACCAAATTTCACGACGATTGATTTAGATATAGGCCAATTTTTTGTCTCGATAAATCAATAATCCCAGTTACACGGATGAAATCGCAGGTAAATTTAGTACATGTGGAGCCCCATACTAAACGAGAGTGCTATACATATACCCACTGGATGAATGATAGAAAAATATATATTATTTTTTTTCATAGATTGTATTGAATTTAGTTTCTGATATTTTTAATTTCCATATTTTTTGAACGAAAGGACTGTATGAAAGTGCAACATTTTTTTTTCGAGTTGTTCTTTTTTATAAAATACTTTCAAGTTATTACAAAGTATTCATAAAAAAAAAATCAGTTATTACAAAGTTTCCCAACGTCAGTGCTATAGAAAAGGGTAACCTATGATATTTGATATAGAGTTTATTTTCTTCCAGTCATCGAGCGTCATAGGTCTCGTAACACAAGAACTAATGTCCTCTGGAAGGAACCCAATAGCCCTACATAATGCAGCGGAGGCGGCATTGCAATTGAACAAAGTGCCACTTGCTCTAGATTTGTTTATGCGTATGAAACAGCTGGGCATGCCGCTCAGACCTCATTATTTTTGGCCTATTTTATTGCATAATTCTAAAAGTTACGGGGAAAAAGGTAAGTTGTTTCTAAATTAGGTTTTCTATTTTACGGATTTAAACAGCTACTTCATTACCAACATATCCTTTTTTTTAATGGGTGATATTGGAATGGTAACCCTGCCTGCGCTATCGGTATACGTTGACGGGGTACCAGTGAGAGATGATTGGTGAGGATGAAAGCAGGTCAGTTAGCCCATCGTGACGAATTACACTAGAATTAACCACGATGGTTTCCAGGTGAAACCGTGTCGACTTGACATGGTGTATTGCTAGCAATAGGTCACTTAGACCCCATTACCAACAATCCCTTTCCCCCCAACCTACATATCCTTTTACACTTAAACTCACCAAACATTCCTTTCCCGTGAGTTACGTAAGAGGCGACTAAGGGAACTTAATGGTCGAGAGATAGGCAGTAGTGTCCCTCTTAAAACATCATCAGAAGTCCAACTGCGGTTGCCAGCATGTCTGCACAGTATGGCAAATCCCTCTGAATTGTAAGTCGCCACAAGGAACAGCCCCTTTCCTTATTACTTAGTCTATGGGGGAGGCCTATGTTCAGCTGTTTCGATCTGAAACATAGATTTATTTCCTTTACATTATTGTTGTAAAAAAAACTATTAAAACTTCAGTTAAAAAAGTATTATCAAAAGTGGCTCCGTAAGGAAGGAACAGGATTAATACGTGGTTTTATTTTATAAAATTTTCCGGGTTAATATTGTCCACTTAATAACCTGCGGAGACAAATTAACTTTCTTCTCGGACTATCCAGAAGATTTTGGTCCTTTGAGCCGGATATGACCAGTCCACAGCAGTAGACATACAACGACTGATACGATGATGATGATGATGATGATAATTCTAAATGTTATTAAAATAAAACACTATGTATCTAATTTATTTTTTAAAACTTATGCCATTCTAATTTTATATAGATATTTATATAACTTTTGCCCGCTACTTTGTGTGTGTGAATTTTTGAAGTTTAGTAACCACTTCTAGAAGGCGTATCAAGATAAATCATAAACCACATTTTAGGTTCCATCTAAAGAAATACAACTGTGAATACATCTTATTTTATTTGGACTCCCCTTGATTCTTGGTGAGATTTAGAGTGATATGACGAAACGTCCTACCTTGGGGGAGGGCGATTGTTAGTAATGCGGACTACCAGTTCCATTGCTAGCAATACACCTCCCCAGATCGACTTCCACGTGGTCCCCCCTAGAAACCATCGTGCTGAATTCCAGATGTATTCATCACGATGGGCTAACTGACCTGCATTTTCATTATCCATTTATCATCCCTCACTAATGTCCTGCCAGCGTTAGCGCAGGCGGGGATATCACTCCATTATCATCCATTAAAAAAATGTCCTCCCTTAAGATGTCTTCACAAATTTCGATATCAATTCTTTTAATAGAGATCCTTTAGAAAATAAAACTTAAAAAATATTACTACAGGTATCATGAATACGCTATCAACTATGGTTAACATGGAAGTGAAGCCAGATTACGACACTGTTATGGACTACACATTACCATACGTCAGTTTCACCTCGCCCCAGAATCTAATGAAAAAGTTTCTAGATACAGGCCTCACTGTGAGTACAGTGCTGACACCTATGATGGTCACGCTTTTGCAAACGGGACAAGTAATGGCAGCTAGTGAAATATGTAAGTAATTTTTTTTTTATTTACTCTTTATTGCATCATTTAAAGAATAATACAAATATAAATATATATTACACTTATTGAGTACAAAAGGCGGTCTTATCGTTAAAGAAATCTCCTTCTAGGCAACATTTGGGTAGAGGAGAAAGAAAAAAAGACGGTAGCTGATAGAAAAAGAAAAATGTTAATAAAACACATGTAAATAGTCATATGAACATCTTACAACTATGTATTTATAATAATATTTGCTATAAAAACGAATATATTAACATATGTTCATATAATAAACATATTGTAACATTATTCATATATATACATATATCTTTTTTTGAAAGAACCGATAGAGGGATTAGTTTGATTTGAATAAATAAAGAGAGTTTATTCCATAACTTTGCAGCACGGAATATAGAGGAGTTATGATAAGGTATATTTCTTATTTTAAATAGTAACTCCATGTTATTTTTTTTAATAGTCATTTAACTCCGAAGTTAAATTAGTGAGTAAAGCCGATATAAGCAATTAAAATATATTATATAATTAATAATTTCCTAGGTGAGTTATTCCAAGGTAAAGTGGACGCGGAAAAGATATTGAAGCCCTTACTAAAAGGTTATTTAATAAGTGCCGATGTTAAATCAACCGTTCACATATTAGAAGATATTTTAAAGAAGGCCATAGACAAGAATAAGGATTGGGTCGGCAGGTTCTTGTGTGTGTTTATGCAACATAAAAAAGTATTGGAGGATATATCTGACTTTTTGGAATTGATTAAGGTGATTATAATTTTATTGTTATATTTAACGGCATGTTTTATAAAATATGTTGTAAAAATATTGTCTTAATTTTTACACATTTATTTTTTCATTTTGTAATTAAGTATATGGATGAAGGGTAGTAGGGTAGTATATCAAAACAAATAACAATATGAGTTTTTTTAAGTAGGAACTTTTCTTTTGAAATGGGGAAACGAAAAAAAGCTAATATCCCATATTTGTTTCAAAAAGCGTAATTAAAATCTAAAAAAAAGATTTTTTTAATTTCACGTGACCATTCTATTATTAATCATTAATTTTTGTGATAGGAGGGGGGGGGGAGGGGGAACGATTGTTAGTAATGAGTCCTAGCAGCTTCATTGCTAGCAATATACCTCATGAAGTTGGCCTCCACGCAGTGGCCCCTGTCATGATTCGGGGTTATTTTGTATGAGCTAATTAATGGTGACCGGTAACGGTGATCATGGGCGGCGGTAGTCACTTACCATCAGGTGAATCGCATGCTAGTTTGCCCCCTGTATTGTAAAAAAAACCTACTCTCATCCCCACCTATCATCTCTCATCGATGTCATACCAGCGTATACCGATAGCACAGGTGAGGTTACCATTCCACTATCATCCATAAAAAAATACTTTGTAACTCGAAGATCTCTAGTCCTAAAATTAATTTGTATAATCCGTAAATTTATAGGCAATAAAAGCGGCAGACATAAAGATATCGACGCCGGCAGCTGATTATTGCATCAGCCGACTGCCAGAAAAACATGGTCAGGATACCATTGATATGTTCCGGAACAGCTTAATTGATATCACTGATGAACGACTCGTGGATGAGAGTGAAATATTCATGCAACAGATGCCACATCCTGTAAGTACTATGTATGTCTCTTTGTCTTCGCTCCATACAAATGCTTCGAGAAAAACAGGTCAACTTTTTCATACAATTTTACGTGATAAATAGTTATGAGTGATTCCTTTATAATAATAAAATAATAATAAAATTAGTTTATTCATCTCCACAAATTACAATGTATAGATTATTTATTTTATACAGAATAAAATATCGTAATTTGTGGGAGATCTGGAGCCCAAACTAAGTCGTAACTTGTATCTTGGACACCAGGTCCCCCCTAGTAAAATAGTGACAATTCAAAGTAAAAGGCAGTTGCGTGGAGTAAAATAAATATGATTTAATATTAGAATAAAGAGGTGCGTGTGTGTGTGCGTGTGCGTGTGCGTGTGTGTGTGCGTGTGTCTGTGTGCGTGCATGCGCGTGCGTGTGTGTGTGTGTGTATAACTTCTTATAATTAACGTTTTATAATTTTTGCAACTTTTTAATGTGTTAAAACTCATTTATTAAATAATTAAATATAGATAACGTAGAGATACATTATGTGCATAAGTATATAGAACACTGATAAAAAACAAGTCAGCTAGATTTGCTAAAGCTAGAGTAAAGAGATCCGCTCAGAGGCCCCCATCCAACCCGTACAGGAGGGTTTAGAAGACCGTAATTAATTGATTGATTGTGGAATATCAAAATTCAGTACATAGACAAACGTTTTGTGAACACACAATTGTACACTTTATTTTGAAAAAGAAATTTTTTGTATATATTATATACTTTTTTGATGGGCTCTGTAAAGCAGAAAATAGAGCTTCCAATATTATTTTTATTTAATGGCAGTAACTTGATTTTTTATTTTATTGATTTTTATTTTATTATTTGTTGTTCACAATAAAAAGTACATTTTATGAAATGGTAAGGTAATGTAGGAAAATAAGTACTATGTACTTTCGACCTGTTGGAAGGTAGATTCCGTCACTTGCAATTGTTTTAGAAACATATGAACGAGGAATCTCTAAAAGCGCATCTCAATGAGTTAGAGGCCAAGGGCATGAACACACGCGGTGTACTGAGGAAGTTGCTGCAACAGTACTGCAGGGAAGGAAACCTGGCTGCGGCCAGGCAGATAGCCGAAAAGTGCCAGAAAGAAGAGGTGAGTAAAATTATTTTATGTAATTGAGAATGATTTGATAGAAAGTATTGCCTATAGACGTGGATACCGCCATAGTCATTATAGAATACATTGCGACACCTATGGTAATCATGCATTGCTATTTCTGACGACCAAGAAGTTATATCTCAGCATTTTCTTTGCCATATCCCATTATTCAAATCATAGCTGCCCTGTAGTATGGCTGTTTTGCAAGAAAAACGTGAGAGTCTATTCAGGTCTTTTGGGACTTTTAAGAAGCTAATTCCCTGTGGTTCCGGCTTAGAATAGGCCACTTTTTCCTCTCTCGTGGGTGTCGTAAGAGGCGACTGAGGGAGGGCGAGGGATGGACAGCAGCATCCCTCTTAAAACATCTCCAAAGCCTAACTGCGGTTGCCAATACGTCTACCAAGCGTGGCAGCTACTGACAAGCCCCCCCTAGAGGGAGGCTTTTGTTCACTAATGGACAATTAAAAGTTGATATCATGATGATAAAGTAGACCATTTATATTTCTCCATGAAGCAATTGTATTTGCATGGTTTTGTTTAGGTTTGAAGGGTGGAATATGGCAGTGAAATTATAGTATGGAGACGTAACATTATAGTCCTCAGAAAATAGCAACACATGAGGGGCACAATGAGCATCACACTCCATTTTGCAATATCCATGATGCTGTCCATGTTTATAAGCGACGGTTACCACTTTCAATCAGGTGGCCCGTCAGGCTGTTTACCATTTTAAGCATATTAACAAGAATCCTGAAGATAAATAAATAGTTTTATTTATATATATTATATTATTATATTTTTATTATAATATTTTTTTCTGTAGGTATTCCTCTCAGCGGGCATGAAAGCCGCCATATTTGATTTACACGTGAAGTTAGGTGAACTTGACCTCGCAGAGATAGCGCTTGCCGATCTAAACAAATCATCGCCTAACTTCACGCTGGATGAGTACAAAGTAATAGACTTCGCGACCCTCATGGTGTACAGGAAGAAAATCGATCAGGCAATGGAGTTGATCACCGAACAGTCTAAAAAGAGGTAACCATAACTTAAAATTAACAAAGTACATTTCTACTAGTAAGTCGTTTGCTTGTGTACCTCTGTCCCATTCGTGTTTATATCATTCTAAGGAATCGCATATACAATGCTATAAAATAACCGATCAGTTGAATTAGCTGAACCTTTTTTTTTATTGTGTATATTGATTTTCGAAAATTCTGACTACTCGTGCGAAGTCGGGTAGGATCGCTAGTATAATAATTATATTTATTTTATAGGCGTGTAGTAGGCGGTCGCGGTATATCAATGAACTGCTGGCGCCTTCTGGACGCGACGGCGGCACACGGCTCGCATATTGAAACTCGTAAAATGTTCGAACTACTTTCTTCGTTGCGGTATTGCAAGCCTTCCAATGTGATTTTAGGACCATTAATACGTGTCCATTTGAAGGAGTAAGTTATATTATTTTACTTTGTACAAAAGTCGATTGCTTGGGTACCTCTGTCCCATTCGTGTTTCAACCGTGAAGCAGTTGTGTTTGCATGGCTGTGTTTCGGTTTGAAGGGTGGGATATGGTGTGAATTTACTGGGTACAGAGGAATAACACCTGAGTCCTTAGGAATGGCAACGCATATCATGGGCGAAACAGTATACTCTATTATGTCCATGGTACTGCTCATGTTTATAGGCGACGGTTACCACTTTCCATCAGGTGGGCTGTCAGCTTGTTTGCTATTTTAAGTTGTATAAAAAAAAATATATGTAAATTTTATCTCATTTGAAATATCTATTTTTTGTCTAACAGTCTGAAATCAAGTATTTTTTTATTGCTAGGGAGGCAAACGAACACACGAATCATATAATACTAGTACTTATAAGTTTTTTTATTTGTCGCAAACATGCATACAGCCCGTCTAATGGTAAACGGTCACTGTAGCCTATGGACGCCTGCATAACTAAGGCAGTTTTTTTTAATAGATGTTAATGGAATGGTAGCCCTGTGCTAACGGTATATGCTGGCGGAGCACCAGTGAAGTGTGATAAGTGAGAATGAAAACGCAGGTCAATTAGCTCATTGTTATGAATACACCTGGAATTCAGCATGATGGTTTCCGGGGGGGACCACGTGGAGGTCGACCTATCAGGGTATATAGCTAGCAATGAGAATGGTAGTCCACATTACTAACAATGCAATGCAAGGAAGGAAGGCCTCCTTGCATAACTAATGGTGTCACGTGCGCCTTTCTGAAAAACCTTAATATACTCTTTTTGAAGAACCCCATATTGTAGTCTCTAGGGAGCTCATTCTACAGTTTAAGCGTTTCCCGGCAGAAAAATACTTTGAAACTGCACTGTAGGTGACTATTATTTAGGTTCGAATATATAGATAAAAAATTAAACAATTATCAGAATTAGTTGTAAACCTATTTGGATTTTTTTTTATTCGAAGGTTACAGATTGGTCCTATAGAAATTTTATCAAAATCGGTTACGTAGTTTGGTTTTTTTAACATAATTAAAATAACAAGTTTAATCGGTTAATTAGTGTTTTTTTTTTAATTAGGATAACAAGTTTTGTCACAAATGAAGTCACAATTTTAATTATTAATAGCAATAATTTATGTGTAACTTATCTGTAAGACGGGTTATCCTAGTACCGACACTAGTCTCTCACAATGATTGTTTTAAATTGTAACCTATATAGCTGTAAATTTTATTATGTTGTTATTTTGTGAGAGAAATAAATATATATTTACATATTTACATTTACATAAATAACATATATTTTACATTTAATTATGTAATAATTAATTGAATTCTATTGCAATAACAATTAATACAACAACTATCATATATACTACTACATACTATCTTATGCAAATATTGTAAACATTTACACGAATTTTGTATTTATGGTTGAGTAAAACTTATTATATACTATTTATAAATTGATTATGATCTGTTTTGCTTATTTTATGTTTTGTAATTTATTCAACAGTAACAATCTTCAAGAAGCAGTGAACGAGTTCTCTCGCCTTGCTTCCAAGTATAATAAAACGCCTCTGAAACACGAGCTACTCTGTGCTATTCTAAAGGCCATGGGCGACGGTCAATCGGAGGAAACCTTTGTTACGAATGAGAAATCAAATGGCAGACTTAATAAACTGGTTCAGACCGTTTTAAATGTTGACAAGAAAGTACATGGAGCTGGGGATGTTCAGGTATCTTTATATAGGTTTATTATTATTGATACTAAATGTTGATTTTTTATAACATTAATAACTTTTGTCTGCTAAAGTGTGGTAACGTCATAATTATCTGTTAATTTTCAAAACAAAAGTAGTAACAGTAGTCCGCATTACTTACCCCCTTCGTTTCATGTTCATAGACGACGGTTATCACTTTGCATCAGGTGGGCCGTTAGCTTGTTTGCAATTCAAAGTGTCAAAGTTAGCTGGGTTTATAGAGTTTTTATTCTTGCAGCTGACTCTGATAGCAGCTCTCGCCGATGTTGGCTACAAGAAGACACTGCGTAAACTGTTCCTGGACCCCACCGTTAAGTTTCACCCGGATGCTTTGCTCCGTCGCTGCGAGAGGTTCGCGGATGAGCGGAAGGTGCTGGCCTTAGAGGCAATTGCCCAGTGTGCTAAAGATCTCAGACATATCGACATTGATGGAGTTTACGAACTCATGCTGGATGTATTCCGTAAGTGTTATACTTTATTTATCAAAGGGAGACTTTGTACAATAGGTTATTCCATCAACTCAACAACCATGCTTTACCTGTGTTTCGATTAGGAAACGATGATGAGTAAGGGTAAAAACAAACCAGTTAGTCCATTGTGTTTTTTTTTTGATAGGTGATAATGGTATGGTAACCTCGCCTGCGCTAACGGGATACGCTGGCGGAGCACCAGTGAAGGGAAGTGATGAGAATGAAAACAGGCCAGTTAGCCCATCATGATGAATTCATCAGGAATTAACCATGATAGTTTCCAGGGAGAACCGCGAGGAGGTCGACCTGGTTGGGTGGGTATATTGCTAGCAATAGGATTCTCAGTCTCCATTACCAACAATCCCTTTCCCCCAGTCCACTGTGATTAATTTACCAGGAATTAACCGCGATAGTTTCCAAGGCGGCTCGCGTGACGGTCGACCTGACAGGTTGTTATTGCTATGAGGGCTAACCTCCAGACGGTTATCTAAATCGGTTGTCAACGAGTTTTTGTTTGCTCATTCGTAATCATAGACACATAAATTTCAAAAGATCAAGTAATGAACATACACTCTTCTTATAGATCATGGACAATATTTCGTAACATGACTTTGATTATTGAATAGAAGGCTGCTCATTACACAGGCGTGAACCGCGCTCATGAATAGCGCCTCTATTTTGTTCGAAACTAGTCGGGCATCTCCTAATTTAAAACGTGAGTTAATAAATAATTACAATGTATGATTTTTAAATTTTCAGAACGCGATGACAACTGCGTAGACGCATTGGCCCTCTGGAACAGAATGCAGGAAACGGACGTCACACCCTCCCAGAAATTCGTACGAAATATTTGCTCACTGATCAAAGCGAATAATAGACCTGTACCCTCAGAACTGTCTGTACTTCTTGACAAGCAGGCGAAGAAGGCAACAAATGTTTAATTTTATTGTACTTACTATCACATTAAAGAAATCAATAAGTTTGTATAGTGTCGACGTGCCATGAAAAAAAAAAGATAAAAAAATGGACTCTTAATTTCTAACTCTTAATAAATAGTTTCGTGGCCATGTAAGGCCATGTTCATTATGTAAGGCCACCAATTAGATATACTGTAAATGATTAGCATATTAATGTCTGTGATATTAAATTATTGTATGATATTTTTCTTTTTCCTAATCCATTGTGATCCATACATTTTTACATGTCTATCAAAAATAAACCCAGTTATCCATATCAGCCGTTAACTGTCCAGTGCTGAACATAGGCCTTACCCGTAAGGGGGAAGGGGGTTTACCAGTAGTTGCCACGCTTGGTGGGCGGGTTAGCAATCGAAATTTGGTGATGTTTTAAGAGGGACGCTGCTGCCTATCCCTTGCCCCTTAAGTTCTCTTAGTAGCCTTACGACACCCACAAAAATGTTTCCGGTGGCCCATTCTCTTTTGTGTTATTGAAATTATAGATATATATATATATATATATATATATATATATATATATATATATATATATATATATATATATATATATATATATATATATATATATATATATATATATATATATATATGACTTTGATTGTATATGTATGTATGCACAACTGTAAGTGTGTATAAGCAACATTCTTTGATTTTAAGTCTGTCCTTAAAAATTTATTTTTCCAATAGTTTGTACTTTAAGACTTGATAAGGAATTGTGTGTGGGAGCAGTTTTAATCTATGAGTATTATTAGAATAAAAATTATCTTTATTTTCTACAACATAAGAATTAAATTTAATAAGATTTAGAGGTATTCAGATCTTCAATAATTTTCTTATTGAGGGCAGCCAATTCTTCCATGGTTTGTTTCTTCAGAGGCTCATAATCTGCTTTCAGCGTTATTGAGGCGATGTCTTCCTCTAAAACAGTCTTCCTACTCTCTAACTGAGCTAATTGTTCCTCTAAGCTGTTTAGTTTCGCGTACATTTCATTGCCTTCTAGGCTTGTCTAAAAAAAAACAGTATACCTATATTAGTATTATAACAAATTGCGATTATGACAAACTGGCTTTTTTACTTATACAATACGATTATGGCAAATTTGTTGTTTATACGAGTTACAATTATGACTAAACTGCGTAAGATGAGGTCTAATTATGACAAACTGGGTATACGACGAGTTCTGATTGGCAAATTGCGTATATGACGATTTCCAATTATGGCAAACTGTGTATATGACGAGTTCCAATTGAGGCAAACTGGGTACGATGACATCTAATTATGGCAAATTGGGTATAAAATGAGCTCTGATTATGGCAAATTACGTATTCGACGAACTCCCATAATGGCAAACCAGGTATATGACGAGATTCAATCATAGCGACAAATTGCGTAAACTAATACTCGCTAGTGGCAATGCGTATGAAATGTGTAATGTATGATCAATTTTTTGTTGTGCCAATCAATAAATGCCTATATGCCGGACACAATGAATTTGCAGCTACATCTGGGTTGGTATTTAAATGATTTGTTTATGAGGAATACGTACTAACCTGTAACTTTTTTAATTTATTCGATGCTTCTGTTACAGCGTTCTCTGTCGGCGTCAACTTGTCTCGCAATATTTTGAGTTCAGTTTCCAATGCTTTCTTCTGTTCTTCACCTTTAGCAAATGAATGACGAATAATTATATAATTTTAAGAACTTATTAAACTATTAAATATACGGAACGACATTGATTTTTTTTTTGTAATAAATATTAGCTAAATAAATACAAAAAACTTAAATACTTAATAAATAATACTTAAAACATTTCTAAAGCCTAACTGCGATTGTCAATCCGCCTGCCAAGCGAAGCAACTACTAGCAAAACCCCCAAAGAGGGAGGCTTATGTTCAGCAGTGGACAGTTAAAGGTGATGTAGTTGTTTGGACGAAATAAGTAACAACCAACTTGATTATATTATTGATTTTCATATAATGAGAGAATGACAGCAGAAATGAATGTGTGAAGTAAACGTCGCTGTCATGTCTGTATGTCCAGTGCGAAAGATAGAAAGAGGTGAAACATCTATGTACAATTAAATTAACCTACTTGATGGAAAGAAAGTAATGATGTTGACAAATGGCTATGAGATGAATATTTACAATATTAATTTACAGACGCCACCAATGTAGACCAATGTAGTTGTTTGGACGAAATAAGTAACAACCAACTTGATTATATTATTGATTTTCATATAATGAGAGAATGACAGCAGAAATGAATGTGTGAAGTAAACGTCGCTGTCATGTCTGTATGTCCAGTGCGAAAGATAGAAAGAGGTGAAACATCTATGTACAATTAAATTAACCTACTTGATGGAAAGAAAGTAATGATGTTGACAAATGGCTATGAGATGAATATTTACAATATTAATTTACAGACGCCACAGTGATACGAAATACAATAAACACTGAATCAACCGTTTTAAGAATTTCAATGTTTGCGTTTTTAAATCTAATATAAAGAGGTAAGATTTCATTGTTTGTCTATAGTAATATTATAAAGAGGGGGAAAAAATTATTATTTGTTTGTAATTGTCAAAAATTACTTAACCGATTTTAAAATTTCTTACACTTATACATATAAAGCTACATTATCGGCGAGTGACATAGACCATATATTATTTTTAGAAATCCTGTCTACACGTGCAAATCCGGGGCGGATCGTTAGTAATTAATAAACTGAAAACATTTACGATTTTTTTTATGCAACTTAGAATGGCAAACAAGCTGACGGCCCACCTGATGGAAAGTGGTAACTGTCGTCTATAGACACGAGATTTCGAAAATTATTTTACCCATAGAAAAATACATTAGCAGAGAGTAATATATATTTTCTTTTTTAAAATATCCTAAAGTCGTGTGAAAATGCTGGTGTGAGGCTTAGCTAGCGCTTTCACTTATTGTCTAACTTCTTTACTTATTATCTAAGTTAAACTTAAAATCTAGTGCATGTAAGTATTATACGTTTTACCACAATGTTTAAGAACTGTAATTTCTGTGCCCTTAATAATAGCCATACATACATGCATAGCCATAGCTAGGGGGAGGATGTATTGAAGAACAATGCCCTACCATAAAAGGCCCCAAAAAAATTAGACTGATTAGCTTTTTCGAAGTCACTTAATTATAACTTCTGCCCTACCAAAAAGTTCTTAGCCCTACCTTAAACTTGGGTCTAGTAGAAGTCATTGTCTTTTAGATGGTGTCAGTATAAAATAATCATGCTGATGAAGGCACAACTAGTCAATTAATTAGGTACTATACTACACCTTGTTCTCTCAGTCTTTCCAGGTCAGACAGAGTAATCAATTCATCTCTCATGGCTTTAGATTTTTCTGGTAATGTTTGTAACTCAGTAGCTAGCCTTTCTCGTGTAGCTTCTGCCTGTATGAAAATTAATTATAAATTTAAATTTTAGAATACAAGTTTCATTTATAAGTATTTGATGAAAAAAAAAAATAGGTGAGATTTGTTGCCATCTAAATATATTTAGATTTTATAATTAATATCAGATGTATAATATAATTGAAATTTTATATTATTACAAACTATAATGATAAAATAGCAATATTGAACGCTTTTCTCTTGTTTGCCACTTTAATACTTGTAAAATATTTGCAACCTTTCTCACGTTGCAAGTATTCATGGGTGATAGTAACCTAGCCTTCAAGTCGTATGTTAATACGTTTGCCTTATTAAAAATAAAAAAAGTGACAAAGGTATAAATAACTCTTCTCTTAATGGTCAAATTTCAATTGATTCAACTGTTTTTAGAACAAGTTAATACAATTCGCTATATTAATATTCTAATGTACCTTCTTCAAATTCGCACTAAATCTTTCATAGTCTTTTGTAAGGGTCTCAGCGGATCTTTTATTATCATCATACGTAGAAGTATAACCTTCCTTTTGTTTTAATGTATCAATCTCACTCAAATCTAGATCTATATTAGAACTACTGTGTTCTAAAGCAAATACTATATCCTTTTCGAGTTGTTCTATTTTTTCCTGTTCTTTCTTAAGGTTTTCTTCGTAAGTGGACATGAAATTGTCCATTGTTTCCTCTCTCTTTTTGAGTTCTCGGTATTTCTGGTGGCGTTCTGAGTTGCCTTCCTCTAGATCCTGTAAACATGAATACATATACGTATTAACAAATAACGATCCGGCCTGTCGTGTGGTTCCGGCAGTGATGGTCCACACCTTTCTTTCCCATGAGTATCGTAAGAAGTTATTAACTTAACGGTCAAGGGATGGACAGCAGCGTCCCTCTTAAAACATCACCAAAGCTTAATTGTAGTTGCTAACCCACCTGACAAGCGTGGCAACTACTTGTAAAACCCTTCGCATTGGGAGGCTTATGTTCAACAGTGGACAGTTAACAGCTGATGATGATGATGATGATGATGATGATCCGGCTTAGTTTCAAATAAGTAGATAGAATTTCCGAAAAGAATATATAGCCTATGTTAGTAGCAGACAATAAAATTTACTAGATAAAAGAATTTTCATAAATCGTTCAGTAATTTTAGAGTTTATTAATTACGAATAAAAAATAAAATTATATATTTATATATATAATTTTATATATTTATAATATTATTATAAATTAATCCAATCTAACATGTGATTTTTAGTTCATGTGACAAAAATATATTTCGAAGATTGTCTACATTTGAACAGGTCATAAAAGAGAATGACTTGAATTAAATTTCAAAGTTATTTTTTGATTTAGGTGATAGTAAACATGAGTACAAATATGTACAGCCATTAAAGCGTTATTTTTTTAAAACTTTTGCATATTCGTGAAATGAATATTAGTTATTTTGATATAATTATTTTATATTGACATTATTATATATCAAAACAATAAAAAACTAACCTGTTCGGCTTGTTCGATAAACTCTTGCACTTTACGGATCTGATCTTTTATATTTGCAGCATTACTATCTAGAGAAGCTATCGCAGCATTATCTTCGCGTACCTGACAATTAAGATTAATTATAGTTATCGATTTACAATATTTTAAATATCATTTTCGTATGATATTCATTTTACAAATTTTATTCTTTTTTCATATTTCAAATTTACCTGAAGCAATAACTTCTCCCTTTCTTCTTGCGGATCCAAGCGGTTGTTCAATTCGTTTTTTAAATTGTCCCTTTTTTCTTCTGCTGTTGCTAGACGTCGGTGTAATTCCAAAAGATGTACTTTTATCTATACAAGCAATGATGATAATTATTAACAATTTAATAAGTATTATTTGTGTAATTTCTTTTACACCCTAAGACTTAAGACCGATATGTCAATAAAATATTACCTATAAAAAGAATCATTCGTACTTTTTAAAAATATCAATATTAAGACAAGTTAAAAATATTTCAAAATTACATTATTCTAATAATATGTTTTTTTTTCTTTTTATTACCAAGTACCGAAACATAAATTGAGAAAAAAAAATCACCAAGTATATCTGCTGTTTGTAGTACACAATAAAAGGTATTTTATATCCCAAAAATAATTTTAATCTAACCTCCTTTTGTTTCGTCGTTCATCAATAATTACTAATACTAACTTGTGATCCTGATATTTCCCTGCTAAATTCTTCTTTTTCTTTATTTAGGTGATCAATTTGTGTTCTTGTTTGTTCTACTTCCTCTCGTAGCGCTGCAGCTGTTGCTTCTAGTTCATTATACTGCTCCTTTTGCTCTGGTGTCATCTCTGATAGTAATTTCGATATTGTAGATTGTTCCTAATCATAAAAAAAATTTTTGAAACTGCTCATTGGATAATGTCTCATACCCATATTACAAAGACAGGAACGTCTTTCTTTATCCAGGTTTTTTATTGAGTTAATATTACAAACATTATTACTCGTATATTATGTTAATGTTCTATAAAGTTTATACTTTTTGTATTTTACGCATTTCTCTATAAGAATATTTTGCTATTTAAGTTAATCCAGGATATTATGGTCCATTTACATGATGTATCAATTTTCATTAGCGTTTTTACATTTATTATTATATGTATATTATTACTATCTAGTAAAAGTATTTCTTTTCACTCCATTTTTAATGTCATTGTAATTCTACCACAAAATAAAATACCTTATCCATTTGCTCTCGTAGTTGCCTTAATTGATTCTCTTTTCTCTGCTTCTCCAAAAACACTTGTTCTACCTCTTCTTGCAGTTTTTTGTTATTGACTTCTAATTCTTTCATTTGATCTTCGACAGAATACTTTGATGCTTCGCCGTTGGCGATACGAATCGCAGTGTTGTAGTCTGCTAAACGGCCTTGCAAATCTAGAAGCATTTACAAGTTTGCACTGGTAATTTTGTACAGAAAAAACATTAAAGTTGTGCGTATTGGGAATGTACTACTATTTTATGTCTAAAATAGTCTCAGTAATATGTTAGGCAAATTACAGAAAATTCCTAATTAGTAATATCCGTCTACGGTCACTTATATAGCTGTTGAAGTATCATGTCCTTTGGAGACAGGATTTTTTAGATATCGAGAGCTAACCACTATTAGATAGAGCCCAGTACGCTTGATAAGATTTAGCATACAGACTAGTAGTTAGCATGAAGAACAAATTTGTGTACTTTTTATCCCAGCCACGCGGACGAAATGGATACATTCATGGATATAGCAAATATTGTACAATATAAAATTTTGTAACTTTATCACTCACCCGTCAACTCTTGCGCTAGTTCCCTCACTCTTTTTTCATAATGTTTTTTTGCCGAACGCTCGCGTTCACCAGCATCGGCCTCTTCGTTCAACCGTGCTATCTCCGCTTTCATCTCTCTAATCTTCACTTGCATGAGTTCCTCCCAATACCGCTTGTCTTGTAACTGTCGTGTACGGAACCCACGGGCTGTACCCGTACGAAGTCCTGATATACCTTGTTGCGTTATCGGTCTATCAATCTATAAGTTTTATGTTCATTTGAAAAAGTCATCGAGGAAAATTTAAAAAATATAAAATAATAAAAATATTATAAATAATTATTGTTTATTTTCGAGACATTACTAAGTGGGTGAATTAAAACCCACAATGCTCGAACTTGATACATCATTCCTAGCCAGGACAAGTCTGTTCCGGTTAAACCGGCACACCAGGAGACGCGTAAATTTTAGGAAGTGCAAGTCCATAATAATTATTAAAATACGATTTTAATTATTTAGTAACATTTAAAAATTATTTTGCTATTATTAAATTGTCAAATGTTTATCATAAATTTATGATTAAAATTCACAAATTACATAATAATTTGGTCGGGAGACTAGGCAGAAAGATGTGATATGTACGTATATAACTAAAGATTCGATTTCGAGATTTCGTGCTTTAAGTAAGATAGAGGAATAAATGTGTAGTAGGTAGGAATCGTTTGAGTGTATCTTAACAGACTTCTCATAAAGATATATAGAATCCATAGGCTTTAATATTCGCTAAAGTAGTTCAAGCATTACCATTGAAAATCCAGTCCTTGCGGTCGGTTGTCGACTAGCAGTTGATGGAGCTGGACCGAATCCAGCTGTAGACATTCGAGAGGCTGTGCCGCCTCGGTATGCTGATGTTGGTCTCATGGTACCACTTCTATATGACACAAAATTTAATTAAGGAAAAGGTGTTCAAATTATTTTCATTAGTTTACGCATTTGACATTTTGTATTTTTTTTTTTATTCTATTTCATTTAATCTAAGTAGTTGACTTTTTAGTAAAAGGAATTTTAACCAGTTTTAAATTTTAGATTTTTCTCATTTTAAGGTATGTATCGAGCGGAGGGTCTATTTTAATGGGTACATTGCTAACAATAGAGACGTTGAACCTCTTTATTAATAATTCTCCACCAATAGTGCTTTCATTAACATTTGGTATATGCAGTGCAAAAAACTTCAATGTGTATTGGGATAAGCAAAGTATAAAGAGAAAAGATGAAATCCTATGGATTAAAAACAGAATTAAATTCTTCTTCAGAATTAGTGAAGAATAATGTGTAACATATACACGAAAAAAAAATATAGTAAAATTATTGTATATCTTTTTTTGAAGTTAGTTTAAAATAAGAAATTGTAAGTTGTAAACTGAATAAAATATATTTAAATCTACAAAAATTATTCCAAGTCAATGGAATTAAATAATAAATGATGATTTTAATTCTAACGAAAAAGCATTATGAATAATTTCACAACCAGTATATAAAATAAATATAATGTTTATTTATTAATGCTATTTTGTTAAGGTCTCAAATTGTTTTGTACTTTCTTTATACTTGCTTTCTTTTAAACTTCACAAGTCATCACAAGACTTCTGTCTTCATCTTGGAATATCTATCAAACCCGAATTCTTATATATAACACTGAGACGAGCACTAAAGGTAAATTTTAATCATTGAAAAAAAATCTAAAATTATATTAATATGTTCTAAGAACTGGCAGAGAATTTCATGTTAGAAGAATTAATACCTAGACACAGCAGAACCACTGTTTGTATATTCACGGAACCCGCGCCTGGATACCGGTCGCGGAGCGTCGCTCCGTCTGACCGCGCTCTCTCTACCTCCTGTAATGTCCTCGGAAAAATCCATAACCACCTGTAAAATATATTTTCCCCTAATGTGGGTCAAGAATGAAAAATTATATACCGCCCCGTCGGTTGGAACAATGTTGTTTGCTAGTCTCCATGGAAACGATGCCCACTATGACGTATTTGCTTATCAGTTGTCATGGTAACGAAAACTGTCTATGCGTCTAAGGTCAAAGGAGGTCAAAAGCTAATAGAGGTAAAGAGTTGCGCATAGTATACTTTTATACTGGAAAGATTATTTTTATAGTTACAAGTTATCTAATCTCCCGTTTATAACGTATATAAGTATGACGCAAAAAATATTACGCGGCGGCATGTTGATAGTTACAATAATTGCAACATTTTAATAAGTAAAAATTAACCGCAATCGGTAATCGTAATTTGGGTGCTGAACGGTTAACACTAGGCTCCATGCAGCAGTCTAATAGTTATCTGAAGATACCTTGTTAAGAGGTGAAACACGTGTTGCAAAACGCGCGTGAACAAAATGACAATTGGAGAATGATTACTAATGTGGAAGATAGTAGAACTTCTGATACTAACAGTGGTAGTTAATCTTCAAGTATTGGCAGTCACATACATACTACTTGCAGCGGAATTAATCCAAATAATTCTAATTAAATAACAAATAAAAACCCACTGACATTAAAAATGAAGAGATTCCCATATCTTTATTATTTGCGTAATGTTCACTCCCATATTTGTTAAGGTTTACTTGCAGGTTAAACGAAATTGTTACAAATTTTACATGACAATCCTAGGTTGCGGCTAACTGAGAGTAGACAAGTCCAGTGCATTGTATTGTATTTTGGATTATCTTTTATTTCAACATTAAAACTTCATTAAAAATCCTATATACCCGCAGAAGTTAGCAGCGGGATCTGAGGTTATACCTAAGTTAGCATAGATTTGTTTCGGTTTTTTTTTTTTTACTTTGTACACAACAAAAACAAATCGGTTATCGGTTCTTTAATATTATCTTAAAATTATCTTTGCGTTGTGTTTCTGCATAAAGTACCTAACTGTATGGTCAAACGGGATTAGAATCATAATGCGTGCATACGACACATCGCACTGTAGAAAAGACAACAATTGGTTACTATAAAGTGACATATTACCGATAGTACATTTCCATTAAAATTTCTACAGGAAATTAAATATTCTGAACAATTTATATTTACGTGTGCAAGGATTCCTATTAACCCGCATAGGTATGTACATGAAGAATTAAAATTATTTAGGTACATACTTTCAAAGAAGACGATAACATTCCATGTGTACTTGACGTGGAATAGTAAGTATGTACTCGTCACATATTTATGCAATAAACCGTATACTAACCCAACATTTGTGTTTAGCTAGAAATAGTGAGCAATCCTCTTTCTGTACTATCTTTGGTAAAATGTATTTCTCTCAAGTTACATTACTTTTGTTATTGTATATATATGTTGCGGATGGTGTTGGAATCAATGGTCTTGGAAATGTTTATAGATATTTCCTTAAAGAAATGAACAGCACTGGATTGCTAATGGAATCTGATACTACCTCAATCAAAAGTAATTGGATAGATCTACCGTTAGACCATTTCAACATCAAGGAAAAGCGAACGTGGAAGATGAGGTACTTCGAAAGACTTGATATGTGGAAACCGGGCAAACCTATTTACTTGTTCATGAACGGAGAAGGCCCTGCAAGTTCAGCATTTCTGAAAACTGGAATCATGTACGATTTGGCCAAAGAAACGAACGGAGCTATGTTTTTGTCTGAACACAGATATTACGGAAAAAGTATGCCACTAAATAATTCAAACACAGAAAACATGAAATATTTAAGTTCTAGACAGGCTTTGGCTGATAATGCACAATTATTGGCATGTATTAAATCGATACCAAAGTTCAATGATTCGAAAGTTGTAGTAATTGGTGGATCGTATGCTGGAAACTTGGCTGCTTGGATGAAATTACTATATCCAGATGTAGTTGATGCAGCTCTTGCAAGTAGCGCACCAGTTTTAGCTAAGTTAGATTTTTATGAGTATTTGGAGACTGTGAGTGAAGATCTCGATGAGTACGGTCCGCCAGGGTGTTTAGACAAAGTTTCCAAAATATTTAAAAGATATGAAGACCTCTTCTCAACTGACGAAGGAATCGAAGTGTTGAAGAAAGAAGAAAATATATGTGCCGATAATGATATGCGAAAAGAAGAAAATAGACAATTATTTTTCCTAGAAAAGGCCTCTAACTTTATGTATCTTGCTCAGTATGGAAATCCTGATAAAATTTATAGTTACTGTGAGGACCAGAAGTCTTTGCTTCCAAATGATCGTGATGAATTCAACCCTGTGTGGAACAAGAAGAATAATTGTTTTGATTACGACTTCGATAATATGATTGAGAGTATAAGGGAAATTGATTGGTATTTGTCTTGGACCTATCAAACTTGTACTGAATTCAGTTATTTTCAAACTACCAATTCCGATAGTCAACCGTTTACAAGGAACGTACCAATCGAATTGTATTATAAAATGTGTACAAAGTTGTTTGGTCCAGAATTTAACGAAGACATGGTTAAAAGAGGTGTTAATGAAACTAATCGATTGTATGGTGGATTGAATTTGAACGTAACAAAAGTTGTTTTTGTAAATGGACAAATGGATCCGTGGAGCAAGCTTAGCATTCTCGAAGATTTATCGTATGAAGCACCCGCAGCGATTGTTCCTCGATCTTCGCACTGTAGAGACTTATTCTCCGATAGATCAAGTGACCCTGAAGAATTGAAGGAAGTAAGGAGGTACGTGAAGTACTTGATCAAAAGATGGATAGGTGCTGGCGAATATAGAACCTTGTAATATTTGCTTCATTTTTATTTGTCAAATTAAACAAATATATTAATAAAACTTTATTCACATTTTTTATTTTAAATTATATTTCTAACAATACTGGTAATGTTTGTAATACCCAGTAGATTTAATATACTAAGGTTAATTACTAAATATGCTAAAATTAAAACAAAAATCCAGCCGTCGTTTTGTTTTCTTTAAAATTTGACAGGCGTTCGAATCTATTGCTAAATAATAACAAATTTCATTGATATTAAAACTCTTTTGTAAAGAATTAAAGAAGAAGCAGGATTACGATGTTATATTATACTCACGTATGTATATATTATAATAAATTTTTATCCCCAACCTTTTCCGCATGATAGACCAGTATAATGACTAGAATAAAAAGTAACTCATGTCCTTTCGCCATTCCTAATACTATTTCTATTTTTCTATGGCCAAATTTAATAACAATTGGTTGAGTCATTAAGTGACAGTAATAAATAAACAAACAAACTCACACTCTTATTTATAACGTTAGTAAGGATTATACGGAAATAGGGAATTAGATGTTCATTAAAAAATACAAACATATTAAAAATAATTTTATATATTTAACATAATTATGTAGGTATGTTTCCTTAAATTAGGTTACTCATAAACCAACATCCAACTTTACATAATACAGTTTGGACATTGATGTACATATATAAAATACTAAAATTCGTTCAATATTTATTCGCAATTTAAATCTAATATAGGTATAATTTAAATATTCCTATACTGTCGGAACAAAATAACGGACTTTGTGACACTTTTATATACCTATTGAATTGGTAGGTACCTATCTAAACAGCTGTTGAAGTTACGTCAGCACGTAAAATGTGATATTATAGAAATGTATGAAGTATTGTATTGACATAATACTTTATCATATTTTCTACATGTCATAATTTAAAAATGACTATTTTTATAAAGTGCTGAATTGGACTTGGCTGTTTATGCAATGTCCATAAATAAATCATTAAGTACAACGGGAATATAATTATGATAATATGTTGTATAACTATTTTTATATTATATGCATAAAAGATATTAATGGTAACGTCGGTAGCACCTCCAATTATAATTTTGAATGTACAATATCATATTTACTTTTTAATTTTTCCGCGATCAATCTACATGCTTAAAAGAACTTTATTAATATTGCTGTAAGGTTCTTTTAAGTGATTCATACTTATTCTAATACAAAACACAAATCGACATAACGCAGGTATAAAAATATAATAAATTTAATTTCTAAAATACACATATGAAGAATAATTATTTTAATAAATTACATTAAACTCGGTTAGCTAATTGTACAAAAGTATTAGACGCTTAACCTAATTATATTTAGATATTTGAGTATTGGAAAGATATAAAAAATACGTGATTTTTACGATACTATTAAAATATAAAAATACTATTTACAATACATAATTATTACAATACAATAATATACTATGTTGTATCTTAACTTATATATGCATGATCTTAAACGGTAAAATAGAAAAAAAAATACGAAATGGTCATTCTTTATTTAAATTATAAACCTGATGATTAATTTTCAAGTTTACTATAAAGAGAAATAGGACGAAATATTTTTGCACCATTACAATCTAGAGAAAAAAGATGTCTTAAATTTTGGTAATTGTTTCATTAAATTTTAATTAGTAAAAAATATATTCGTATTAGCTGTATTTCCCGGCTTTGCTCGTGTGTATAAAACATACCTTATGTATTTGTATTGGATATAGTTGATCTGTATACTCAAATGCATTCTAATCTGGGAAGCCCTTTTAGCGTAATTCTAGTAAAATAATCCAAAGATTATTACACATTTTCAATATTAATAAATTTTTCTTTTATAAAATGTTAAGATCTCTACGTCTATTCACCAATTTTATATATTCCCAACCCAGTTTTGACTAGGATTGACACCTTACTATAAATTATACAGACATTAACGACTGATTGTATATACGTAAGTCATTAAATCGGCAGTGATTAATTAATTTACTTACAATTATAATGTAAAATAATCGTTTATACAGATCAATATAAAATTACAATAAAAAATACTTATTATAATAAGTACAAAAAAATTAAATCAAGTCTACAAGTTTCTTAATTATTAACAAATTGTAAAAAAAAACATACAGAGTCTATTACACCTATTCGTATATTAAATAAGTTTATATAGTGTATTTTTCTATTCCCAATTAGGGATTTATATCATGTATAAACATGTACACGTTTACATGATCTTACGTATACATGCACATGTTATGTTCTACATGTACATGTTTATTTTCTTCAATTTGTTGAAAGCATATAAAAGCTTGTTTAATTTCTGACTGTTAAACGAAATCAGTCATCGGTCATAATTTACAAAGACGCGAATATTTACAATGTTCATAATAGAACGATTCTAAGATACGGTCACATTGAAATCTTAAGTACGGTTGTCAGTTCACTATAAGGGCAGTCTTTTGTTTATACAAAAAACATATGAAAGGTCGATGTGACGGTATCTTTTGTTATGAGGAAACTATGTCTCCGAAGTGGCCTTAATCCCATTCTCCGATGAACATGTGGCGTGCATTCGGCGCCGGTGGGGGTGGAAAGCCGCGGCCAGGAATGGGAAGCCGTCCATACAACGCGTATGGGTCATAGGGATCGCCATCTGGAATATCGTGTCGGTTAGTCTTGTGCTGCTTGCATACATACAAGTGTGTGGTGCTGGCCTATTACATTTTTATCTTACAAAAGAATATATTCCAATATATAATAATAAAGTTGTGAACTGAGTCTGATGTTAAAATTTCCTAAATGTATCTTACTAAGATCTTGTACATTTTTGTGTAAGATTAAAAAAACGACGAAGAAATAATTAAAAGAAAGAAACTTATGATAAAGCAAAGCTACGAATTAGAATGCTCTTGGTCAAAGAAGGAACAGACGTAGAAGTCGAGAAAAATAGTGAGATTAGAATACAGAAAGTGGATAGTGTTTAAGAGTGGAATAATACACAGGGTGAAATAAAATTTATTAGTGCCCTTTTAAGGGAGAGTCATACACAGCCAGTTTGAATATTTTTCTAAAAAAAAAAACTGTAAAAATAATTTTCCTTTTTTTAATATTAGCCTGCCATTACAGCACATGAGATTCCAAGTAATATAGCGGCTCAAATTATTGGTCTTTTTTGATTAATGTTTTTCTTTTTGGACAAAATATTCAGTTTCACTGGTAGAACACTCCTTTATAAGGATGCTAATGATTTAATTTCACTGTAGTGTAAAGAGATTATTTGCCATAGAAGCTGCAGGCGAATTGTGCTACCAAGCGAAGCGTTCGAAATAAACAGAAAGTTTAAATACCAAGATTGGAGCGGAGGGTCCGCGACGAGGCGGTGGAATTTTAAGTGCGGGGTTAATCGTATGTAGGTACACTAGCGTGGCTGCTGTATGATGAGCGGTCGCAGCCGTTGATCCCTGTTAGGATAGAATTGGTACATGAGCTTTTCCTTTCTGGGGGGACGTTCGTACGCACCGATTCCGCTCTCGTAAGAGCGCGCGTGCCAGAGGGCCGCTGGTGGCATCGGGGCATGGGCGAACGGCGGCATGTGTGGCAGGAATGGTCCCGGATGGGGATGAGCCACGCTGTAACGTTTGCTTGGGACTGGAGTTTCTTTCAGAGTCATCCGCTCCGCCATCGATGGCAGGACCTTCGCACCGTTCGTCTTCACAAAGTTGGGTACACGGGCTCGCAAACCGCAATAGTACGGGTCATCTGAAATGAAGAAAAATCGATTGTTAATAATAGAAATATTTATAATATGATTGGTAAAGACTTAAATTGATTCCATTTGATGGAAAGCGACAAGTTATAATCTAGACTCTACATGAACAACACTGTAAACATGATAACCTACGATTATGTTGCCCATGAATACTTATGTATTGCCATGTATTCTTGTCGCAGAGATTTATTTTGAGTGAAGACTCAGAGTGGCTTGGAATGACAGAAATAAGTAGGATAGTAGTACAGGAATGTGTCACTAAATAGAATATATTTAGTGACATATTCCTGTACTACTGTATAATAAATTAAGGAAATATTAAGGTAATTTTAGGTAGATACAAAATAATCGAATCCGAGTCTTCTACATACTCCGCCATTTTTCTCACTAGTGAAGAAATATGTAATACATATATCTAAACTATTTAGCTCCGATCGAAAATTTAAAAGTTATTATAAGAATCTCTAAATAGTATGAAACAAACTTGCTATCTATGATTGTCTGTTTTTCGCTTATTTGTTCTAAATTTCAGACCATATTTTGATACGAGTTTTACTGTCATTTAAATATTGTATTACAAGTTTGTATCTACAATTTACACCTGTGCGTAACCGGGGCGGTTGCTAGTAGGTACTAAAATGGCTCAACTGGAAGTCAAACGCCAAACGTCATTCACGCGGCGTTTTATCTTGTAAGTTATCAATACAGTCGGGCACGAGAATCGGCATAAGAGATCTGGTGTGCACATTCACTATAATGGCACGCGTGCACGTTCCGTCCCATGTTCCGCATCCTACGCCTGGCTCGTTCCAAATACCGCAAGTCAAAATATCAAGGATACGTCGAAATGCCAGTGACGAGTTACGCCACATCGGGCCATTGTCTCTGCGCATCGTGTGCGAAATTTCGAACTGATAAATTCTTACGTGCGTTATAGAACTAAAAAAAACGGATTGTTTTAATTGCTATAGGTAAGTATTATAATAATAGTTATAACTTAATTAATATTCAACATGATAGGGCTAATTTATGTTTTTTTAACAAGTGAAAATCTAAATCAAAGTAAAAAAAAATCTAAAATTAATCGAATATTCTTAATTTTTTTTTATGTGTGTGTGTATATTAACGTAACATATTTGCCAATTCTGAATTGATTTTTAAAATTATTTTTGCAATTGACAGTATTCATTTCCATAACCCTTATTCATTCATATCATGAAGTCATTTTTTTTAAACTAAATCTTAATAATAATTACTGTTTATAATTGTTATTTACAGTAAGTATATTACAAAGTCGAATGTCGAAAAACATCTAAATTATTGTAATTTATTAATCCATAATCCATTTATATTATATTTAATTATACCCAAAAAATATTACCTTTCATTCTTCCAAAGTCGGATAGAAATAGGTTTCTTTAAATAATCCGTTATTTATCTATATCATTTATTGTATATCACCCACTTTAATGCAAGTTGGTTAATGGATCTATTAAAATGTTTCAAATTATTGAGACCCAAATGAATGTAAGAAAAGTTCGTTTACTTAGTTGATTGTTTCATTGTATTTACAACATTTAGATACACTCGTAATATTGGACATTTAGAATAGACAACATTTAGAATTAACAAAATAAATCTAATACACTCATTAAAGAACCAAATTGGGCAAATGAAATAACATTCTTGTTTACTTTTATTCTTTTTATGTATAACAAAATTTAAAACCCAATAAAACTCTCAGTCTGAATCCAATAACCTTTAACTTACATTACATAAATGGTATTAGATATTTTATAAATACACCCACCTATTAAACATTACTGCAATGATATTACTCTTGTAGTCAACCACGATTGTGTAAAGGTTAAGTTACACCGTTTTAAAATAGACTCAAGTTTCGTCTGATATTTAACCCAAAAGGCTAGCCACAACGTTTACTTTATCATCTGGTTTTGTTTTATACGATAAAATGTTGAATGCGAATCGTACATCAAAATGATCTGTGGGACCGAATGATTTTATTTCGGATTAAATTTACTCTCTACGTTTGTGTTAGTATTCTTGTTCAACAGTGATGAATGGGCTTTTAAAAATGCGTTTTATTCGTAAAAGACGTTAAATGGACGTAAATCAAGAACATAAGTTTTTAGAAACATCCGAATAATGCATGTGTTTGTTGTAATCTGTAATATTTTATTTGTTTGTTGTTATACCGATATTTGTTGTTGTTTTGTTTATTTATCTAGTGTTTTTATTTTACATTACACTATATCGGTGCAGGGGTTTTATCTTATGTTACAATCATGTTATTATAAATATGTGTACACTCAGCTCTCAATTTAATTAATAAACAATGTATTATCATTATAAATAACTAATATTTTTTTGAATTATTGCTAATTACTAAGTCATTTATAAAAATTGAATGTTGTTTATTAAATTAATTATTAATTTAATATATAATCTTTATAAATGACTAATAATATAAATGTAAATTATTAGTTTATTTATTTCTTTAGTTATAACTACTACTTTAATGAATCGACTAATTTGAACAGAAAAGAAGAAAGCTGCTTTTTATCAGCTATCTATTAATATATCTCGATTATGCAGACAAAGTCGTAGATAAAAACTAGCGGTATATAAATATAAACTCACGGTGACACGTTTAGAAACCCCATGACGCCTAGGATCTATTTAAATTTATTTGAGTACATGTTTCAATAACTTTTGATATATAACGTGACAAGAAATCATAAATATGAGGATGTCGGTTTGTAAATCATGCGTGGCTCGCAATATTGGTATTATAACACGTTCACACTTGGCCAAGCTAGAGTGTAAGAGTGAGAGTGATTTCCTGTAAATATTGCACAAAAGAGACTGATGCAAACAATCAAATTATATAAACACAAACACTAAGTATATATGTTTTTGGAATGAAGTAAATTTTGCTTCACTAACAAATTAGCTACCTATTTTCCCGAACCAAAACAATTTTATCAGAACAGAAATTAACTAGGAATAAAACCTATCGATTGCGAGAAGTATTGCTAAAATCGGTTCAGAATTGACGAAGATATTACGTGCCATAAAATAAAAAAGAAGGCTGGAGAATTGAGGACATGCTCCTTTATAGGTACAAAGAAAATTTGATATAATACGATCAAAATATGTAGGTATAAATTTTTAACTATGTATAACGTTTAAAACTACTATATAGGTATATTCGTATCTGTACTAGATAAAATAAGTTACTAAGTGTATGTTACTGAGAAATGAAAAAAAAAAATACCACAACCGTGGATATGTATTTAAATAGATGTCACAACTTTATATAAAGTTTTGACCCGAAAATATACTGAACAGAACTTATTTGACTCCAGTTAATTATATGTAAAATTATATGAAAAAAAATTACAGGACTAACAAAACACTGTTGTACTGATTGTATTTTCAAAATGGTAACATGATATGCAATGAGTATCTAAATAGTTCTTGCAACATGTCAGAGTAATTTTGCATATTTTATGGACAAGATTACGTGTAATCCCGATATTAAAAGGGTTTATTACGGAGAGTACTTAGTTTGGATCTCGTTTTGGTATATTTGTGTAGTAAATGTGTACCAGAGTATATATATATATATATATATATATATATATATATATATATATATATATATATATATATATATATATATAATAAGAAAAAAGGAAGAAAGATTACTTACTACTACTACTTATTACTATTGTTTAATTAATTTAAAAACAAAACTAATTTGATGAAATCAAATTAAATAAAATAGTTTTTCTCGAAATTTTTATATGGCAAACAGGCATATATTAAGCCGGTCTGATAAAACAATGCGATAGTAATGCAACAATTATTAAATATTATATTTATATGTAAAATGCTCGAATTATTTCCATTGCATTATCTACACACATGGTGAGTCTGCGTCGTCGACATAAATCCGTTCCAGTGTCAACTAGGTGACATTTGACCAGAACATTAGGTATGGTTGTCACTACACTCTTGCTGTCTGGAACAAAATTAATAGACCTAAATGGGATACTCGCGTTAACATGAAATTGAGATTTCACGGAGTCTACACGGTAATCTTATACGGAAAATAGGCGAGGCAGGAGGATTTTCATTACTATAACTAAGTATAATAATTCAGTAGTTACGAGTATTTATCAATTGTATTTTGCCTCTTCTTACAACATGTAAACGTGAATTTGTTTGTTTGTTTATTTGTTATCTCTAAATACCTTAACAGCTCAAGCAACCTCTATAAAATTTATTATTACATGCACTGTATGGATTGAAGAAAGACATAAGTTACTTTTTATTCCGGTCAGTGAATGTATCTCGGTTACGCAGATGAAATCGCGAGTAAAAGCTAGTATTCTATAAAAAATTACGTAATAATTTATTTTTTATATTAATTTTTATTTTATTATTAAATAACCAATTACTTTTTGATTTCATTGAAATTTTTGTTTTGAATTTGTAAATTTTGAAAACATTTTTAAAATTCGTCATACTCGAGAATGGGTGCCGCTGCAATGCGTTATTTTTTTTATTTAGATCTTGATATTTATTATTTTTGAGAAAGTATTATTGTGCAAATAAAACAGTCCCTATAAATCAAATTATAAATTTAATAAAAAAAGAAAACTAAACAGGCTGTGAATAAAAGATTTACGTGACATCCCTGATGTCGTAGGTCTTTAAATGTTACAATAATCGCTTACCATCCTCAGATGAAGATAATATATTTTATCTATGGTACCATCTGACGGTCCGTAGGTATTTATTATTACCACCTTTGTTGAAGAAGCGTTTCGTTTTACGCATTCATAATTCGCCATTGCTACATATCACGGTAAGCGCATTACAACAAATATCGTATTGTTTGTTTTCTTTGCTGGTGTGCGTTTCGAAAAAAGAAAAAAGCTGTATGTTTATTGGAACATAATGACCATTCTGGGTAGGCTTTGGATAAACTGTTATGGCCTAGTGGTGGGACGGGACGCCGATACCACTCCTGTTGCGGAGAAATTTATGGCACTTTGTAATTAATGTGAACTGACCCGCTCGTGGAGTTCCGTGGGCAAATTGTGGCGGACGGCCATTTTTAGGTTATTGTTATTCTTTAAAGGATAAAGTGACCGTAGGCGCAAGACAGGTATATATATATATAACATGAGTAGTGGGATAAAATTTTATGGTTTTAAAATTATGTCTATTTATTTGTGATGCACCTTGTTTTTATGTATTTTTTATGGTAGCGATCAAGAATTGATTTTATTTGAAAAAATGATAGGTAAGTGTTATTATATTTTTATATATATCCAGTAATATGGTTCGGTTGAGGTTATGTTTGTTATATAAGTAAGCACATTATTATACGATGCTAAAAATGAATGTTTTAGTGAGATTATTTGACATAGCAATAAAATAGACACAAAAATAATATTTTTAAACTTTTCGTATGACATTCCTTTGAATTTTCATATGACAGCATTTTTATAGCATTTGTGGTTTCAAAGAATTATAGTAAGATAGAAAATAATGGAATCATTTGGGTAACATATTGTAATTATTATATAGGGCCATCTCAACGTTTGAACTAATTTACGGAGGTATAATATTTCCTAAAAATAATATGTTATTTATATGTAAGTAAGTTTTTGAGCATTTCTATTATTTATTTATTTAAACTTTAATCCACAGTGAAACTTTATGTACTATTTATGGTGAATTTAACAGCGGACGATGTTCTCTGCTGGCTAACCATTGGGTTAAAAAATGTACTGAACCATCGAAGTCTGATTTTTCTACGGCAGCATTTAGGATGCAAATGCGGTCATTAATGCAATTGTATCGCTGTAATTACGTGCATTGTCACCATGATTTGCACTCACCGTATTTCTTGTTGTCTTTCCCTTTGTCGGACTTGCCTCTCTGGAACTGGGCTGGGACGCGCTCGTTTACTTCTATATCGTCGTAATCCGGCTGAAATTAAAAAAAAAAGAAAGATCAATCTCCGTATGGAATCTATTCTCTATGAGAAATTTGTAATTAAAAATATTTAAGAAACATTAATATATAGTAAAGGAAATAATACTTTTTTTAGTATATTTGTCTCTTTATTTGTCTGTATATTTGTTCTGACACTGCGTAAACACTACTGAATTTCGGATATGATTTTCAATGTTATGTTTCTGAAGGTCTAACTAAAAATTTGGTACGCCATTTTTTTTATAACACAGAGAGCAGACGAGTATGCAACTCATCTGATGGTAGCTACCGTCGCCTATGATTATCATCTTCATCACTATGTAGCATCATCTAGAAGTGATTATCTATTTTCAAAATTTACGCGTACGAAGTTGTGGGGTAAAACTGTTTTATAAGTAACTATATCTCATATTTTTGATTGAATTATAAAAATCATAGAGCTATTTAAAAATATGCGCAGCCAATGTAATTTAAAAGAAGTAACAAAATATTTTAAAAGTAAGTTAAAAGTAAGTTTAATTTGGTTTATATTAATAAGGGGTAAAAAAAGTATAAAAAGTATTTTTTTATAAGATTAAAAGCGTTTAGTAACATTTAAATATAATTACATTTAAAAACACGAGAAACCACGGTTGGCTATCTATTAAAACATAAAACACAAATCCGACAGGTTATCTGCACTGATTCCATTAGAAGCGTAAAAAGCGAACGTTGCGCATTGCACATACGATCGACAATAAAAGTGCAACATTACACCTTATAATGTTCATAATAGGGTTTATAATTTGTTGAAATGTGTCCAATTGTTTTATTGTTTTAAGCCATGAGTGGCTTAAAGTAACAGCGATGAAGTAAATATGCAATTGTGTGGGCGAGTAACAATCTTTTACATCGCAACAAGCAGTGAATGTTGCTCATATGGGTGACAGAATCTTATCACACGACAGAGCAATGTATACCACCCTGTTTTCACTTGGTTAGTGTATCTGTCGGGCTTAGATTAATAATTTATTTATTTATTAAACTTTAATACTAAGTGTATATTGTAAATGGCGGACTAACATCATACGAGTATGATAGTGTACTCGTAAATGGCGGACTTAACACTGAGTATATAGCATTGAGTTTCTCAGATTCTATAATAATTCTTTCATTAAATTTTTATTCGTGTGAGCGGGGTAATAGATTTGTAAATCACACGTAAATGGGATTACATGACAGGTAAATTACAACTTACAATTACAAAACAGGTAAAGGATTGGTAAGCGTCAACAATACAAATGGCGAATTTTGGTTTGATTAAAAAAATTACAGTTTGAGTAAAAAAGTTAAAGTCAGGCGACAGTTGGTTGACCGTTTTTGGGATTTTTTGACATTTAAACACTCCCTCTAGATATTTATAATTTAAGAAATTAAAGACAACTTTAAACCGTCATTAGGGAATTTAATTTTTTTTATACTAATAAGGTGGCAAACAAGCATACAGCTCACCTGATGGTAAGCGGTTACCATAACCTATAAATGCCTGCAATACCAGAGGCATCTCTTTACTCCTCTTTTAAAGTTACTTTTTTATACACGTAATACAGAAAAATGTTTACAGTATGGTTAGAATTATGTAACTTTGACTAAAAAATAAATGAAATTTTCTAAATTGATCCCAAATCTTGATTATTTAGTTTTCAACACACGTCCAAGGTTGAAAGTAAGAAATTACTGCTGGTAATTACTGTATGGTACTTAGTTATTTTATTAATATCATAGAGTTATAATATTAATAGAAGTTTTTTTTTTATACAATTTAGAATGGCAAACAAGCTGACGGCCCACCTGATGGAAAGTGGTAACCGCCGCCTATAGACATGAACAGTACCATGGACAGAACAAAGTATACTGTTTCGCTCATGATACCCCCCACGCGTTGCCATTCCTGAGGACTCAGATGTTATTCCTCTGTACCCTGTAAATTCACGCCATATCCCACTCTTCAAATCGAAACACAGCCATGTAAACACAACTGCTTCACGGTAGAAACACGAATGGGACAGAGGTACCCAAGCAATCGACTTTTGTACAAAGTCTCCCTCTGGTGAGTTTGTAGTGAAGTTTAGTTTCTGTCATTAAATAGCGTTAAAACAGTTTGACGGATTTTAATGAAGTTTTGTATACAAACAATTTTCTTAGTTAACTAACATACAGGCTAATTTTATTCTCATACCATATTAGGGCTTTTATTTATTTATTTATATGCTTTTGTATTCACTTATAACATAGATATTAGTGTATAACAAAAATATACAGAAGGGGACTTATTTATTAGGAATCTTCCAGTCAATCTTGAGAACCCGAAAGGAGAAAGTATTTATAGGGTTTGTATATAAAGCATAATTATTAAATTATAATTATATATATATATATAGAATAACTTATCCATATAAGTAACTCAACTGCCAATTGTTTTGTAAATTCTTTTATAATATTATGTATATTTTGATTTAATATATAGATTACTTTTTATCATAATTCACGTGAGTAAAGCCGCGGGACACACAACTACTACACGCGCGCACAACTAGTAGATATATACAAAAGAATTATTGCTAATTTGTATGAGGAACGCATTCCGTCTGTATAAACATGTTACACGTGTTCAACTTCTGACACTTGGTGGTAATCATCTTTAGTGTCGATGGTTGTGAAGATAAACAAACATTTACATACGTATATGACCATTATTAACCGACTTCAAAAAAGAAGGTCTTACGTTTGACTTACAACACCCACGGGATAGGAAGGGGCGACCTATTCTATGCCGGGACCACACGGTTACGGTATTTATATTTATTCGTATTCTACATTATTTGGATTTCATTTGATTTCCATTTGAATAATTTTGGGTAGGTACGTACCTAACTAAAATAAATCATTCCTTTGATGAAAATATGGGTATAACATTGTATTCATACACCGAATGATTGTTACATTAATCCTGTCAATGGCACTTCGGAACAGATGTTAAATCGATTGAACCTTCGCCTCCTTGTAAGCGTGTTGATACGATTTACGATTACCGATTATGATTATGATAAATCGATTCTTGTGTAACTTTATTTGGCGTTTCATTCGAATGAAACTTATCGAGAAATACGGATAGTTAATGTATGAATAATATTGGTTTTCTTTTGTTAAATGACATGGACTTTTGATGAGATTTCGTGAGAGATACGATGAAAGCTTTTAATTTTGATACGAAAGATTATATTGTTGTGTGAATACTTTGAGAATTGTGTTAATTTGTTATTAAACAACTTCAAAAAGTAAGGGATTCTCAATTTGGTTGTATTTTGTTTTTGTTTGTTATCTCCGTCAATTTTAAACAGATTTGGAAAAGATTCTTTTTTTTATCTGAAAGATTAGTCCCACAGAAATTCTATCACAAGCGATTGAGTAGTTCAGTTTTTACAAAATAATAGGTTTTGCCACAAATAAAGTCGGTTTTTTTTTTGTGGGTTTATATAGATTTAAGGCTTATGTATAATAATAATATATATATAATTTTCAATTTTACTTTTAATATACTTATTACATTTTGTAGTTTAGTTTAGGACTTCTGATGTTTAGGAAAGTTTATTATATACTAGTTTTTACCCGCGACTTAATATAGTGATTGGTTAAGCCGTGTACGCGTAATAAGGTAGCAAACAAACTCACATATACATATATAATATTAGTAAATATTACAGATATTTTCTCTAAATTTTGCGTATACGCCGTGGGTATTATGACCATATGTGTTTTGTATGACAGACCTGTTGTTACTTGTTTGCGTTTTTTTTTTGATGGGTGAAAATGGTATCTAACAGGATACGCTGGTGCTCCACCAGTGAAGGGTGATAGATGAGAATGAAAACAGGCCAGTTAGCCCATCATGATGAATTCATCAGGTATTAACCATGATAGTTTCCAGGGGGAACCGCGAGGAGGTCGACCTGGTTGGCTATATTGCTAGCAATCGGATTCTCAGTCTCCATTACTAACAATCCGTTTCCCCCCTATTCGTTTGCGTAGGCCCTTATATATCTAATGTACATATGTAGATACGTATGCTAATCTTCTTTATTTCTCGCACCTTTAAATGAAAAAATGAGTATAATAATGATAAAATAAAGCTATTTTCACATGTGAATTACCGACAAATCGCAACCACACTGATATGCCTATACTGGCAAAAAGGCAAGGAAAGGGCCATGGCAATAAGTCTGTATCAGGTAATCTCAAGTTTCGGCCCGCAGGTATACATGGACTTTAATATTATTTACTATTTTCATATTATATTATGTATAATGTAGTATTTTGTAATAATAGTTGTTTTCTTCAACTAGGAGAAGGAGAAGTAATAAATTAATTTCAGATATAGACTACATATAAGGGTTTTTTGTTGTGACAGAACAACAATCTTTTTAAGCGACATTACAAATGAAGAAGTTTTAATTGGGATTTTTTTACATATATTTTATGATACGATTTGGTTTACTCCATTAGTGCCATACTAATTTTGAATTATTTTTCGTGAAAAAGAAACATTCCTTTCTTATTTTTATAGCAACCCATGAAATGAATAAGTTGAGGACATCTGATTTATAATATTCAATCATACAGGCGACTGTGGTAATTTAGAAACGATTAAATTAATACAACACGAAGGTACATAAATGCATTGCAAATTGAAATGCGAGCTTGCTTTTGGGATGTAATATATTTTTTAATTTTAAATTTGAAATAGGTACTTTTACTTTTTGTTTGAATTTTTATTCGTGTAATTGCGGTTTTATAATACCATCGCTACGATGGTTGAAACTCATTTTTATATATTATATATATTATCTAATCAGGTTCCTGGGGGTCTATCATAAAATGAAATGCCGAATTTTCGGACTCTATTTCGTGTTTTGTTCATACCGAGATCACATTTCGTTCGTCATAAATCCTACCATAACAATCCAAAAGAGCAATATTTTAAGATTTTTAATATTTTCAAACAGTGCGTACTATGTAATCTTAACATCAAATTAATGTTTCGTTCGACCCAAAATTTCAAGAAACATTTCATGGTAGGCTCTCTGTTTTGGAAAGTCCTCTATTATTATGTAATACATTTTTTATGCAAATTAGAATGGCAAACAAGCTGTCGGCCTACCTGATGGAAAGTAGTAACCATCACCTATAGACATGAGCGGTACTATGGACATAACAGAGTATACTAGTTCATGCATGATACCCCCCATGCGTTGTCATTCCTGAGGACGCAGGTGATATTCCTCTGTACCCTGTAAATTCACTGCCATATCTTACTCTTCAAATCGGAACACAGCCATGCAAACACAACTGCTTCACGGCAGTAAAACGAATGGGACAAAGGTGTCCAACAAGCAAACGACTTTTGTACAAATTATCCCTCTAGTACATTTTCTTTTTCTCATAAATTGACTAAATGTGGCGTATAAAATCTAATAAAATGAAATCAAAACAAATATATACAATTTTTTTACTGATATAACAAAGTGACATTATATTTATTCTTACCTACGTCGTAAGCTGACGTTAAGGTCGTTACGTTGTATGAGAGAGATTATAGAAGATTATTGATAATAACATAATTTTAAATAGCTTTTTAGATTTATTCAGTAACTATTAAAGTACACATTTATGTCATTGTATATTAGTCATAGCCCATTGCAGCTACAAATGATGAATCTTTATGGTTTAATTTGTCATTAATGATTCTGTATTTTATTGAATATTTATAAAGTAATAGTATTGGTTGTAATAGGGAATGTATTCACATACCATATCATATAATATATAGATAGATAGATAGATACTCTTTATTGTTTCCTCCAAAAGATTACAATAGTAAACTTATTATAAATATAAATAATTACAAGAAATAATCACAATGAGAAAACAATGGGCGACCTTATCGCTAAGAGCGATCTCTTCCAGGAAACCTTTGGATGGAGAGGAGTAATTATAAACAATTTGGTAGGAGGCACGATGAAAAATTTTGTTAGTTCTAGATATGGGAGATGTAATACATATAATAATATATGAATTATAAATATTATATATATATATATATATATATATATATATATATATATATATATATATATATATATATATATATATATATATATCATAAGGTAATTTACTCGTGTTGATTAATTAAATGAATTTTTTTGGTCTAATTTAAATCCTTAAACAGTTGATAAAATTTGATAACACTCTTAAATCCCTTTCTCGTTTTAACTCACATAGATAAATTTAACAATTTTTTTATAATACTTAGAATGGCTAAAAGCTGGCAGCTCTCTTAATGAAAAATGAGAACTGTCGTCTACAGATATGAACAACACTATGATATCACGTAATACACTGTGATGCCCATTGTTGCAATTACTAAGGACTATGTAGTTACGTCTCCGAACCCTGTTATTTCACTACCATATCCTTATTCTTCCCTATATATTATTATATGTATTAAATCTCCATATTTACTAATAATAGGATTTTCATCGTTCCTCCAATCAAACAGTTTATAATTACTCCTTTCCATCCAAAGGTTGCCTGGAAGAGATCGCTTTTAGCGATAAGGTCGCCCATTGTTTTCTCATTGTGATTATTTCTTGTAATTGTTTATATTTATAATAGTTTTACTGTTGTAATCTTTTGGAGGAAACAATAAAGAGTATCTATCTATCTATCTATGTATCTATCTATATCCTTCAAACTGAAACACAGTCATTCAGCTGCTTCACGGCAGAAACACAGGTGAGATAGAGGTAACTATAAAAATGACTTGTGCAAAGTCTTCCTCTGGTGAAAAATATCTTTGCTGATGACAATTGCTTGTGATTTTAAATGAAACTAAATATGAGGATACCAACCTTGGGAATATCAGCTGGCCCATAACCATTCTCCCTTGGGGGCAATTTGGGCGGCTTGTCCCCTCTCCTTTGGCCCATTTGCATCATTAGCTGTTCTCTCGTGGCGGCCACCACGCCGTGCCCATTGTGTCCGTAACCACCGGAGCTGCCGCTGGATCCAGATCCATTCGCGTTCGAGCTGGCGATGCTGTATGGATCCTCATCAGGAATGGGGATGCGGGGTCTGTTCTTGATATCCATAGGTCTTTGAACTGTTGACAAAGATAATGTTTGTTTAGTTATACGTGAAATATTTCAAAAGTAAACATAGGTAGAAGGGATTTTTTTTTATACAACTTAGAATGGCAAACAAGCTGACGGCCCACCTGATGGAAAGTGGTAACCGTGGCCTATAGACATGAGCAGTACCATGGACATAACAGAGTAAACTGTTTCGCCCACGATACCTCCCATGTGTTGCTATTCCTGATGATGTTATTCCTTTGTATCCTGTAAATTCACGCTATATCCCACCCTTCAAACCGAAACAGCCATGCAAACACAACTGCTTCACGGTAGAAATACGAATGGGCCAGAGATACCCAAGCAAACGACTTTCGTATAAAGTCACCCTCAAGTAAAGTAAGTATTTTCTTTTGGTCAATAAAGTTATTGAAATAAATAAATAATAAATTATCAGACAGTATAAGAGAGTGGATACAAGCGTACAGATATATCGTTTAGCGACGATTGGGCAATGCAGGTGTCGTGATATTCGCATGGCCCGCAATAAGCCGGCTTCACGACGGCATGCGACTTAAAGGCTGGGTTTCATTACACCTCCAGTCATTATATCTATTATTATATCTACCCTCATCTCGCGTTAATCGCGAAAATAAACGAAACGTACACGATAAACGTTGATAATGATTTATCTTGATGGTAAAATTGTTGTGCACGCTATGTATTGGTTTATACTACAATATTGTTAGAGATATTGTCTATTGTGTATTAAAATAGGCATTTTTTTTATTTATTTAAATTAAAAAAACAGTAGTAAATATATTATGATGACAGTTTTATATAATTAATTTTACCACCAATATGGTAGTTCACGTTGTTGGTGGCACAATACAAAAAAATAATATACAAACTTGAAAATTTGCTAAGAAATGGTAATGTATATGTAATTTTAAAAATATATTTAAAAAATGTAATTTTAATGAAATGATAATAATTATATAGTTACTATATTAAATCAACAACTATGTTATTAGTATTAATTATAATTTAAAGATATATTTAAATATATAGCTGAATTAATATTTAACAATTTTATATGTGTTAGCTGGCACATTAAAAAAGGTCATTAAGTAATGTTTGTGTGATGTAAATAGTGCTTTGCGGCGTCTCCTGCACTGGTTTACAACTAACAATCTTATGTTAAACGCTAAAAAAACAAAATGTGTTAATTTCTCTCTATCTAAAAGTTTTAATATTAATTGCAATATTAAATTAAATGACGAATCTCTCGAATTTATAGAATCTACTGTCTTTCTAGGAATCACACTAGATAATAAAACACAATGGGGTGCACAAATTCAAAGCCTTGCAGCGAAACTAAGTTCAGCAGCTTTTGCCGTGCGTAAAGTTAGACAGTACACTGATACTGATACTGCTAGATTAGTCTATTTTAGTTATTTTCATAGTTTACTCTCTTATGGAATATTACTATGGGGAAAAGCGGCAGATATTAAGAATATATTCATATTACAAAAACGTGCCGTTCGAGCGATCTACTGTATGAAGAGTCGTGACTCATTAAGAGAGAAATTCAAAGAGGCAAATATTCTCACCGTTGCTTCTCAATTTATATATTCAAATATTCTATATGTTCATAAAAATCTTGACTTATTTCCAAAAAACAGCAATATTCATAATATTAATACTAGATTTAAAGACAAACTTGCTGTCCCCAAGTATCGTTTAGAAAAAGTTAATAGGTCTTTTATGGGAATAGGTATAAAAATTTACAATAAGATACCAAAGGATATGTTGGAATTACCCTTAAATAAATTCAAAACATCTGTTAAATCATATTTACTGAGCAAAGCCTATTACTCACTAAACGATTACTTGAATGACGAGTGTGCATGGCAATAGTTGTTCATGCACTGAATTTTCATTTAATGTTAGACATAGACACCTATATAAATATACATTGTAAATAAACTGGCTTTAAAAAAAAAAAGTAATTCAATTGAGTTTCTTGCCAGTTCTTCTCAATTGGATCTATATACCGAACTGGACGGTAGGGAAAATATAAAATTATAATGTAAAAATTTGACGTTCATAAGCGGCTAAAATGTCCTACATGAATAAATGATTTTTGAATTTGAATTTGAATTTGTATTAGGGTAAAAGTGTCTAAGATACTTCTTGTCTATCTGTGTACCAAATTTCGTACAGATCCGTCTAGCAGTTTAAACGAGTAAAAAAACATCAAAATTATTTTGGTTTTCTCATATTTATGATATTAATAGAATTTTTTCCCAAAGAGGGTTGACGTCAGGCAGGTGGCCGGTCGTAAAACTAAAAACCAAATCTTTTTGTAATATGGATAAAATCATATTACGCCGACCCCAAATGATTGGGATAAGGGTAGGAAGATGATGATGAATAGAAATTTTTACTATCACGGCAATAGTTGACCAAATCCTGTGACTACCATATAAGAGTAATATATATATATAATAATAATGAATCATATTTATTACATTTCATTTTTTATTTTTAGAAAAAATAAAAAAAAAGGAACGTGTTACCGAGCATGATTTTTAAATTCAAAACTTAGTAGATACCTAAATGGTAATTTGAAGCAGATGACCGTCTCGCAGGCATCTTTAGTGTTTAAAAGATGTGTCTGGAAATACCACAGACGGTACGTTGCAACGGTATTAGAATCCAGATTAGTTCAGTCGCTGACTTGAATTTGAATTAGGTGTACGTACGATCATTATTTTTCTATGTTCAGAAAATAACGTGATGCTATTCGATGAAGAGTAGTTGCACATTGTATTATCTATCTCTTTTTTATGCAACTTTCAATGACAAACAAGTTAAAGCCACATCTGACCAGAGGCGTATTTAAGTTTGAGGGGGGGGGGGGCGTGCCCACCCCAGAATTGTCCCACCGTGAATGCGAGTGTAGATTTTAATTATGCGCAAAGACATCTCTGAGAGTACACAATGTGCCTTTTCCGATGACTACACTCCCTCCCTCTTTCTGCTCCTAGGAAATAATTAACTTCGTGCACTTGATTGAAAGTGTTAATCTACTCGCATACACAAGAATAGCACTATGGTATCTTTGTGTGATTAAAGATACCATTAGGGAGAGGGAAGGATTGCTAGTAATAAGCTTTAACAACCTTATATATTGCTAGCAATACATCCTATCTGGTCGAACTCCACGCGGTTCTCCCTGGAAATCATAGTGGTTAATTCTTATTCAATTGGTCACTATGGGCCAACTGCTATCATTCTCACCTGTCACCCTTCACAGGTGCCCCGTCAGCGTATACGGACAGCGCAGGCGGGGTTACCATTCCATCTTCACCCATAAAAAATGTACCTTTACGCGTTGCCATTTTTTAGTATTAAGCTATCTATACGCTGTGTGCTATTTATTAATTTACAGATCTCATCCTTCGAACTAAAACACAACCATACAATTGCTGTTATATATATACCATTAGTAAATCTCTTTAAGATAAATAATACTTCCTAGCGCCAGGTCATTTACGATCACAAGGCTTTCCCTAAGCTGAAACCGTAAGCCAGAATTGTTTCAAAGACTTCCAGCCTTGTAAACAGACAATCTCTTGCTTCATACACTTTCATAATTAATATATATATTTATGCATATTTACATATATCATCTCATGGAGACTCCTAGCAAGGTTTATTTAACTATGATGTACAAATATAGTAGTAATTAAACTAATAGTTTAGATCTCTCCAGCTAACTGCATAATTTTCACATATACTTAATTTATCGCAAAAAAATATTATTCACTAAACGAAAGGAGTGCATGATCACAATAATATGTAAAGGATTCATTATTTTTCATTCATTTTCGTGTCATATTTATTGAAAACAGAATAAATGTCGTTTTTCGTTTAAATCTAAATTACAAGGTTTAAGGACAAATGGCTACGCTGATTTTATTTATTTAAAGACAACCAACAAAACATACATTTATATCTACTTAAAATACATTATAATAAGGTTACCTTATAAAATGCTGCCTCAATTAAAGGCCGCCACGACACGCGTATTCATAAAAATGTTAAAAACTACAATACTATTCGTAGATATACAATAAATAGTTAGACTACAGTAATACTTTGGATTTGAAAGATTTGTACACTTATAATCTATACATATGTGCCATGCCATGGCATGTATCATTGCACATATGTATAGATTATATGGCTGTTATTAAGCTGATTAAATTAAACTATAGAATTTATACAAAATGGATTTGAATTTGTTTAAGGTCGTGTTAATATCAATATTAATATTGGGCAATATACGCTGATTTTTTTTTACAAATTTGTTAATATCAGCCTAATATTGTGCAGCCTAATAATATGCAAGTTATGTCATCATCATCATCATCATATCAGCCTTTAATTTTCAGCTTTCTCCTCCTCTTCCAGCAAGTAAATTGGACTCTCTTTTCCATGCTAAGCCTTTCATTTAAGAGCTGTTTGTGACTCCTATTGTGTATAAGTGTTTGTTTAAGGGGCAATGGCCCGTTATTGTCCTTATCATTGTTTTAAGGTTTTTTCTATGTAGATATAAGAAACGTTTTAATAGTCGTTGATTCAATGTTAGTGCAGCCAGTTTTGATTGTCATTGTGCAAGTATAATCCCAGAATTAATCAAATCAAAATCTTTAAAGTCTAATTGGAATTGATCAATTAATTTAGCAGCAAAATGTAGTTATCTGAACTTAATATATTTAGTCCACTTTGTTCGATTATATACCTTTTACTCATTTACTCATCTCTCGATTTGCTCTACTTCCACTATTATTAATGAAGTCTAAACCAGGTTTAAGTGAGCCCCGTGCTCTAATTCAGTACTATCAATTTGTGCAACAGCCGAACACTCGTTTACAATCGCCGTTTGCTTCCTATTGTCATTGTGCTATTTTGCATAACTCCAGTCACGATTTTCGCCTGCCCACCTCTTTAAATCTCC